CCACCTCTGTCAGAGTGCAGATGCAGGACAGGAAAGTCCGAATGGAACCGCTCGCGGAGCTGGAGACGAGTAGCGCGGATCCAGGGGATCAAAACATCAGGGACATCCGCCTTGCGCTGCAAGGTGAAGACCGTGGTGTAGCGCGTGTAGTCGTCGACAACCAGCAGGAAGTACCGCTTGTGGCCCTGTCCACGGACGCGGGCTGGGCCCCACACGTCCAGGTGGAGAGTCTGCAGTGGAGCCTCTGTGGGAGGGAACGAGGAGGAGTGAGGAGCGGCGCGCTGCCGCCCCTCGACGCAAGGAATGCAGGGCGGCGCAGGCGAGGGAGGGAGGGGAGGCAGAGACCTGGGAAGACCAGAAACCAGGAAGCGGGAGTGCATGCTGCGTAGGCGAGGCAGGGAGGGGTGACCAAGGCGGTGGTGCCACAGGAGAGTGTCGTGCGACAGCCGGCGACACTCACACTGTGTAGCTACCTGAGCAGACGCATGCAACTGGGGAGACACAGGGGTGGAGCGTGACGCAATGGTGAGGGTGTAGAGACTGGACCCTGGCGCACGAGCGAACGTGGCCAGGTGGCGACCAGTCTGGGAGCACGTGCAAATCGCCACACGCTGCCGGCCAGGGGTGAAGGTGTCAACCCCCGTATCCTGGAGGACAGCGTTACTCACCAAGTTCGTAGAGAACGAGGGGAGGTGGAGACCACACAGCTCACCAGACGGGACCGCCGGACACGGAAGCACAGTGGAAGACCGTACAAGCACTGGGCCCCCAGAGGGGTCAGCCAGTGAGACAGGAACAGGTGCAGGGAGGGGAGTGACTGTGGTACTGTCGCGAAAGAAACAGCGGGAAGCACCAGAGTCAAGTGTAAAGGTGTGCAAAGCCTGTGCAGGCGCAGTACCAAGGGGAGCAGACTCACAAGCACCTAGTGCTGCAGGGGCTATACCAGGGGCTATACCAGGATCCGGCGGCACACACAATTAGCAGTCACCCTCAGCACTAACAGACAAGGCATACATAGCAGCAAGAATTGCCTCATAGTCAAGATCAAAGATAGGTACATCACGCCTAAGCAATTCTGCCCAGTTGGGGAACTCAGGAGCATCAGGAAACTTGGCGCGCCAGGCGTCACTAAGCCGAGCGAAGCAGCGCTGCTCAGTGTGAAAACCTGTGCACTGGCGACCAGCGCGGGGACCTGTGCGGATGATATAGGGGCAGCGACCAGGACCCCCAGAAGCCCCACGCCCGGCATACCAGTCAAGAAGCTGCTGGGAAGTGGGGGTCTGGCGCTGACGCTAATGCTACTGCTGCTGCTGCTGCTGCTGCGGCTGCTGCTGGCCCTGACCACCAATGCCACTACCGCTCCCTCCTCCCCCACCGCCGCTGCTGCCCCCTCCACCGCTCCCAGTGCCTCCGCTGCCCCCACCACCACCTCCACCGCCTCCACCCCCACGACCACCCCCACCACCTCCACCTCCCCCGCCGCCTGCACCACCGCCACCTCCACCGCCACCCCCACCGCCCCTGCCACCCCTGCCGCCCCTGCCACTGCGATGCTTCCCACTAGGAGCGGAAGCAGCTCCGACCCCCTCAGCACCAAGGTAGTCGTGAGCAGCAGCTGCGGAGGCGTAGGAGGGGGTGAGAGGGGAGGGGGAGCACCCCTCAAAGAGGGGAGAGCGAGGAGTGCCACGAGCAGCACCTACAGCGAGGATGTTCTTCTCTGCTGCGAGGAGGTGCTTCTCGAAGTCGTCGACAGTGAGAGTGGTGGGGTCTAGCGCTAGGAAGTGGTCCCTGACTGAGCTAAGAGTGTCAGGGAGGCGGGTGACGAGGAAATAGAGAGTGAAGTACATCGGGGGGGGGGGGTTTGCGACGCAGAACTCGGCTGAAAGGGCGGCACGAAAGCGAGAGTCAGTAGCGCGTAGGTGAGAAACTAGGTCCTCAGCAGTGGTGAACGAGGAAAGATCGGGGAACAGGTACGGTAGCATGAGTCGACCTATGGCTGCAGTGGCCGGGGAGGAGTAGCGCGCAACTACAGCGTCGTACAGTGTCTGAGCAGTTCTGTGCTGGCTGAAATGCGCTCGCTCAGTAATCGGCAGGTGGTTCCTAATAGCTAGGCGTGCTGCAGCATCACGAGTCTGCCACTGGGAGCGTTCTAGAGCAGGAGCATCAGCAGCAGGAGTAACGGCAGTGCCAGAGACGTAATCGAACAGTGAGACACCCTCTTTCGCATCAGTTAGAAGGAACAGCTGGAGATCGTCTAACCACACAGTGAACTCGATGGGACGACCGTCAGGCTCGAACGCTAGAACGTTAGGCGTCGCCATATTGGCTTAAGGCAGGCGGCAGCAGGCAGCAGGCAGCAGGCAGAGGCAGTAGGCACCAGGTAGGAGGCAGGAGGCAGAGGCAGGAGGCAGGGGCAGCAAGCAGCAGGCAGGCAGCAGGCAAGCTGCAGGCAGGCGGCAGCAGGCAGCAAGCAGGCAGGCGGCAGCAGGCAGCAAGGAGCAGGCAGGCAGCAGGCAGGCAGCAGGCAGGCTGCAACAGGCAGCAAGCAGGCAGGCAGGCAGGCTGCAGGCAGCAAGCAGGCAGGCGGCAGCAGGCAGGCAGCAGGCAGGCTGCAGGCAGGCGGCAGGCAGGCGGCAGCAGGCAGCAAGCAGGCAGGCAGGCAGCAAGCAGGCAGGCGGCAGCAGGCAGGCTGCAGGCAGGCGGCAGGCAGGCGGCAGCAGGCAGCAAGCAGGCTGGCAGGCAGGCAGCAGGCAGGCGGCAGGCAGGCGGCAGCAGGCAGCAAGTAGCAGGCAGGCAGCAGGCAGCAAGTTGGCAGGCGGCAGTAGGCAGCAAGCAGGCAGGCGGCAGCAGGCAGGCAGTAGGCAGGCTGCAGGCAGGCGGCAGTAGGCAGCAAGCAGGCAGGCAGGCAGGCGACAGGCAGGTGGCAGGAGACAGCTAGCAGGCAGCAAGCAGGCAGGCAGGCAGGCGACAGGCAGGCGGCAGCAGGCACGAGGCTGCAGGTTGCACGTGGCTACGGGCAGCGCGCGCAGCTGCGGGCTGCTCGTGGCTACGCGCGGGATGGCGGCAGGCTGCGTAGGCGGCTGGCGCGGCGCGTGGGGCCTAAAACGGGCTACACGGCGCGTGGGACCTAAAACGGGCTACACGGCGCGTGGGGCCTAAAACGGGCTACACGGACGCGGCGCGCAGGGCCTAAGCGGGTTGCGCACGGGCGGCTTACACGGCGCGCGGGCCGGCGGCAGGCTGCGCGGGTGACTGACGTGGCACGCGGGGCCGAAAACGGGCTGCGCGTGGGCTGCTTTAAGTGGCGCGCACGGAAAAAAAAAAGGGCCACGCGCGTGCAGCCGAGGCGCGCGCGGGCAGCAGGTAATGCAGTAATCGGTGGGCCCTAATCTTAGGTCCTAAAGACCTATGCTCTATATACCATCTTAGAAGCTAGGCATGAGTGATGTGGACTATCGAAGAGGTTGGTACAAGGAAAAAATGAACCTAAGGGGTTGTACCCCACAGTGTGTACCCCACTAAGCCTACCCAAAATATAACATGGATATACATATGTTTGACAGCATGAACTTCTATTCTTTTGGGTATCCCAAGCAAAATTTCAGTAGCAACAAATACTCGCACTAGTAGCGGAGAAATACAGTTTAAAGCATAACAGATTTGGATACGTCACCCATGCTTGACGCTCACATATCAATATTGAAGGGAATGAAAAATATCGATTACATTCTAAAAATGTTGTAATCATGTTATACTTTTGTCCGTTCTAATTACAACAACATTTCAGCATATATAACGAACCCCACCAATTATGGAGATCATTTTTATTTTATTGCAAGGTTTATACTGTCAAAAATGGGTCCAATAAAATGGCTACATGATAGTACACATGACCATGCAACTGGTGTGTTGGCTACACATTTGCTAATCATCCAAGGAGGTGTTACGTGTGAGCCCGCTTGGGAAACTGGGGAGGAAGCTGATTAGGAAAAAATAAATCAATTAAGGATGGATGGTTGTTGAGCATCATGTGTGCCAAGTTCGGTTCCGCCAACAACAGTCTCACTGTCCGGGTGGAATGGATTTCTCTTGGACTGATTGAGTGAAACTGAAAATTCTGATGGTACAGCATCTGCCAGCACAATGAAGCCTCTTGTTGACGTGCTTTCATCGTGGCTGCACATATTTTGTGGCTCTACGCGATGGTCGTTTCGGAGGAGGTGAAGCATGTGGTTGGAGTGGAGAGTGACGGGTGGCAGGTACGCCGCCTCCTTGCCGGGTAATCCAGTGGATGCGCCCCCAGCCCTAGGTGTATAAATGTTTGTGTGCGTCTAGGTTAATTATTGTCTGCCCAAGACTGTGCATTGTGAACATGATGTGTGCACTCGTACAGAAATGTACAGAGCTCCACAACAAGGGCCCTCAACAAACTGCACGTGGAGGAGCCCCGTGGCGAGCCCATTCCCAGGGTGCAGGTGTGCTTCGCACAACATGTCTGCCAGAGTTTGCCCACATGCGTCATGACTTGTGACCTGCACACACTTCATTGCAGCAGTTGAGGCAAGCAGCCAAAGCATCCCACCGCTGTGTGAGTGGTTCCGATTACAGCAGCTGCCCTGCCCAGCCGAAAGTCAGATGTCCTTCACCGTTTCAGCTGACTCCCTTGTCTGTGCGAAGCAAACCCATCCCCGAGTTGCTTCTGTCTGCTGGCGGTGCTTTCTTGGTGCAAGAGGGAGGTTGAAACCAGCCCAGAATGAGCTAGCTCCAACGAGTTTTAGTAGTTGCAGCCGTCCATTGCCTACGTACAGCTGTTGGTTACGCGCATGATAGTCACACGTATGCGTCTATCTTTGACCTACGGTATTGGTCGTTATTGGATATTGAGAGATTCGCAATAAAATTGCTATCTTGCCCTCCCCTCGACCTTTTTATCTAACCGTTAATCGCCAATCATAGCGCTTTCAGTGCCAAAGAGTCGCTAAGGTATTCATCGCACAGAAATGCGAGGCGATGATCAGCTGTCGCATTGGTTGGTGGAAGTCGTGAGGCCCGGAGGAGCTTCCGCTTCGAGCAGCAAGAGCGGGCGGGTGGGAGCGAGAGGCGGTATTAGGGATGGCGCGGGCGAGGCGGCGGGACTCGCGGTAGCAGTAGAGGAGGCGAAGAACGAGCGGTCGGGTTGCGTTCTCCTCATTCTCGTGCACGTGGTCGCGGGCTGCGACACGCGAGGTGAGCGCGGCGCTGGGTGGTGGAAACGGGGCGGGCGATGAGAAGCGGCAGCGGAGGGTGGGGCATACATTCGAGATGGAGATAGCGAGAGAGCTGGATAGAGAGAGAGAGACAGTGAGGACCATTAGAGATAGAGAAAGAGGATAGTGAGAGCACAGCCAGTAGGTCCCGTAATCCGCCACGAGCCATGCTCTCCTCGTGCTGACCCTTCGCTCCGCTCCTCTCCGCTCTTCCAGGTCCCTCGTCCCACGGCGCGGAGTCACCGAGGGGGGCAGCAGGGCAGGGGCAAGAGCAGGCGGCGGCGGATGCGGAGGCGGAGACGGAGGAGGCGCTCAAGTGGGCTCTGCTCAAGCCGCTGCAAGTCGCCGTGCAGCAGCACCAGGTACGCGCACTTTCGCAGCCCGGCGGTCCTAGGTTCGATCGCTGCCGCCCCCCCACGTCGCGTGCAGTCAGTCACCTGCTCGAGCTCCTCGCGCACGCCGCCGTCAGTCGCATCGTCGCTGTGGCGTCTCCGCTGCTGCGCTCTCACCCCTTCTCACTTTCCCCTCACCAACTCCCATCCCCTTCTATTCCCCCTCTTATCCTGTTTTCCTCCCCTCCCCATCCCGTTCCCCCTACCTCCCCCTTCCCCCCCGGTGTTTCACGTACCCGTTGCGCTGTCGGCCTGGGTGCGGCGCGTATCGGTGGCGACGTGGCAGCTGAGGGCGGTGATGCACGTGGAGGCCAGTGTCTCCAGGGAGCGCGGCCTCGCTGACGTGGCGCATCGTTTCCATGCGACGCGGCTCTACATCAGCCTGGTCAAGAGGTAACCCGCCTTTTCCCTTCGCTCCCCCCTTCTTCCCCACCTCTCACATCCCCTCCCCCCACCCCCCTCTTCTGAGTCGCCCTTGTCCGTGGGGGAGGGCGCGCACGATGCGCATGATGCGCGGCTCCATGGGCGCACTGCTGCACTCGCGCATGCCCACGCTCACGCTCATGCTGATGGGGGTAACGGCCGTGGTGCTGTTGCTGCTTCAGCTGAAGATGGTGGTGGTGGTAGCAGGCAGAGGGAGCGAGGTAGCACACCACAACAGCACCACCACCAGCACCACCATGCACACCCCTCATGGCTCCAGGAACGGCGCGGCAGTGGCTCCTTCATGCCCACGTGGAGCTTTGGCCGCAGGACACGTGGCAGCGGCCCGTTGGTTGCTGTTGAGAGGGGCGAAGGCGAGCGCATGGGTGGTGAGAGCAGGCCTCGGTCAGGAGTGGTGAGGGCAGTGGGGGTAGACGGAGGGGAGAGCGGAGGGGAGTGGGAGAGGGAGTGCGAGAGCGAGCGTGAGGGTGAGGGTGAGAGGAATCGGAAAGTGGAGGGGAGGGTTGGGAGTGGGAGTGGGAAGGGTGCAAGGCGGTACAGCCGGCGGTGGAGGCAGGGGCGGCTCAGGACCCAGTCAGGGCCCCTGGGCCCGCACTCTCCCTCCCTCGCCTCCCCCTGCGCGCCCGCCTCTGCACCTGCACCGCCCGCTCTCGCTGCTGCTCCCCCTCACGGCAGCATGGCAGCAGCAGCAGCGCAGCCAGGCGGGCACGCGGACACTGCTGCAGCGCGCGCAGAGGAGGGCGCGTGCAGTGGTGGCAGGCGGGAGCGGTTTCACAGGTCCGAGAGCATAACGGAGGGGGGAGAGGGGGAGGAAGGAGAGGCGACAGAGGGGGTTAGAGGCACAGAGGAGTGTGGATCCATAAATTGGGAGGCGTCGAGGCAGCAGGTGGAGGTGCGGGCATGCAGCAAGGCGGGCAATGGGGTGCACAGGGACGTGCAGCGGCTGCTGCATGCGGACATGCACTCCGCTGCGCCCACCCCACCCCCCTGGCCCATGGGCCTCTTCCGCTCCTCCTCCGTGCCCGGCCCCTCGACCGTCACCCGCGCCTCCCCATCGCTAATCGCCTCGTCCTCCTCCTTCTCGTCGTCTTCCTCCTCTGTGCGTCGCCCCCCCTCGCTGCTGTTCGCCAGGGCGTCGTCCGTGCCTGGCTCCACTCGCCGCGTCTCCTTCCGCCGCCACACGCACACCACGGGTGGGCACGGTGGGCAGGCCGGCAGGCGGCGGCACAACGAGGGGAAGAGCAGCCGTGGCGCTGGCAGCTCTGGAGCAAGGGATGAGGTGGTGTTGGGGGGGAGGGAGAGGGGTGCAGGGGGAGCGGACGCAGGGAGACGAGAAGGGGAAGAGGCGGGCATGGGAGGCGTGGCAGTGAGGAGTGGGGAGTGTGGAGCGGCAGGAGGAGGAGGAGAGGCGTGCGCAGCGAGCGAGGCTCCGGACTACGCTGCGTATGCGCCCTTCCCCCACTCGCTCTCCTCCTCGTCTTCCTCCTCCTCGTCGGCGCGCCTGCGCTCTCTCTTCCGCGCCACCTGCACCCTCTCCGCCACGCCCACCTCCCCCGCCTCGCCTGCCGACACCGCGTCGCCCGCCATGCCGCCCAGGAGCGACGGGCGGGGCGGCAGGGGCGGTAGGGCGTACGAGGTGGTGCCGGTGGATTGGCTGCAGGAGGTGGAGGCGCGGAGGGCGCGCATGAGCGGGGGAGAAGCGGGGGAGGGCGGTGGGCGCGGCAGCCTGGATAGCCAGATGAGGAGAGCAGCGGGTGCTGTCACTGGTGATCATCATGCCCGCGGCTCACACAGTGCCCGAGCCAGTGGGGCCAGTGACGCCACCCGCCCTGCTGCCAGACCCACAGGGCCCTCCCGCAAGGCTGCGTGCGAGCCACTGTGCACCACGGCATGTGCACCCGGGTTCAGTGACCAGAGCAGCCCCCTCTGCAACTCCACTCCCGCTCTCACGCCCACCACTCCTGCCACTGCCACCACTGCCACTGCACCTATCTCCGTGCCCTCCACCGACTCGGCACCGTCCAGTGCTTGCTCTTTCTCTCCCCACACCCCTCCCGCTGCTGCCCCTGCCGATTCTCCCTTTCCCGCCGCTGCTACCGCCAGGTGCAACTGCTCGCATGCGCAGCACCTAGAGCCCCACCTCGCTGCACCGTGTGAGCGTGCATGCAGTGCTCTGCAGCACGGCCAGCCCACCGCAGCTGCACACGAGAAGGGCGCAGCAAAGGAGACCATTTCGGGGCTAACGAATGGCGCGCAGCACCACATGCATCCGCCACACCTCACCATCCTCACACCCCACAGCGCCTGCAGCGCCACCTCCACGCCCACCCCCTCACACACCACTCCCGCACCACCCGCCACCACCACGCCTGCCAGCATGCACCAGTGGCGCCGGCGGCGGCGGCGCGAGTGGCGGGGGCGGGACGACAGCGACAGCGTGAGGCGCATGAACGCGTCGCTGGCGTACCTGTCAGTGCAGCACAGCCACCTGGTGCACCTGGGCGCCGCTGATGACGATGACGACGGGCTGGACGTGGATGAGATGGTCGTGGGCGCTCGCCTCGACGCCGCCGGTGAGCGCGCCCTGCTCATGGGCGCTCACATGGTGGGCGGTGGATGGGGCGGGAGAAGGGGACGTGGATGAAGCGGAGAGGGGGGAGTTTGGTGGGGAGTGCAGTGAGGGATGGCAGGAGGAGGAGATGGGGTGGGTGGAGTGCATGGGGAGTGCAGCGGGTGACGCTTCCTCTGTATATGATCGCTATTCTGGCCCTCTCACTCATGCTGCCCTTGCTGCTGCTGGGGTGATCACAAGCACAGCAGCAGCAGCAGCAGCGTTGCCATCAGGCGCGCCCTCCTCATTCCACAGCAGTCCCAACAGGGCAGCACCCCCATCCGTCTCCTCCCATACTAGCACCCCTGCAGCAATGAGCCCAGCCTGCCTCTCCCCTCACGCGCACCCCTCTGCACACAGCCCCTGCCGCAGCACCTCCCACGGCTCCCCCTCTGCCTCCCTGCCGCGTGTGCCCTGCTCCCTCTCCCACGGCTCCTGCGACAGCAGTGCAGGCAGTGGAGCGAGTGAGGGGCGGCGGCGCTCCATGCTGGGAATGAGCCGCAGCATGGGCGTGGCCACACTCTCTCACGCCCTCTCCTCTCTCACCCATGCTGCTGCTGTGTCCTCGGGGTCCATCTCAGGCTCCCCTGCTGCCGCCCGGCCTGCCTCGCGCCTCATGCTGTCGTCAGGGCCCACACCCGACGCACAGCACACCTGCGGTAACGGCAGCACGTCCTTAGGGAGTGGCGCGGGCACGGGCGCGGGCGCTGGCGCGGGCAGGGGCATGGGGGCAGAGGCGGAGACGGAGGGCGACATGGGGCTGGACATTGACATTCTGCTCTCCGACCTGCGCTCCCGCCAGATGCGCTCCACCTCCGGGCCCCTGGCGCCTCGCATGGCTGGCCCCCTGCGCTCTGTCACCCATCCTGCTGCTGGCATGGCTGCTGCAGCTGCAGCAGCCGTGGCAAGTGTGGGGGAGATAGGCGGGGAGGATAGGAGTGCGCCGCTGTGTGATGTGGGGGTGGATGCATGGCGGAGTGCAGCAGAGGCAGACTCAGGAGACCACTCCCTGGCTGCATGTTCCTAAGCGGAATGTGGAGTGCACGAGCATAATGGGATGGGAGGCTTTCCTCATCAATTTATGGGAGGCTGTTTCCAACGTGCAATGCTGTCGCATCAATGAACTTAGCAGCCAAGGACTTGTTTCAATGAAGCACATTAATTTTGAGCTTGAACAATCTTTGCCTTCGTTATACTGTACTGTTTGTTTACTAATAGAGCTGTACATCTACTTTGGTGGATAACACAATATCATGCATAGCGGGTACAATATGGAAATTGCGTGGCAGAGCCGATTGGCGCGAAGCCCTTGATATTCCGACGCAGATCCCAAGCAGCCGCCCAACCCGAACTTCGCAGAGCCACAACTGCTGCACGATTGTCCCTCTGCCCTGAATTCTTCCCCGTCACATGCCTGCTTCTTTCGCTCTGTTATCTGATTCTATCGGCCATCAGTCTCGCCACGTCGCAAGCAGCAGCAGCGTCGTGAGTCACGGCGATGGAGCTGCAAGGATCCCATGCCCCATCCGCTTCTCCGCCTCCCGCGCCGCCAATGCCGCTTGCGATCGACCACGCCACGCGCGCGGTGGCCACGTCGTTCCTCCGCAACGAGTTCCCCCAGGTGCGCCTCTCTATCCGCGTGGCTCGTCGCAGCTCGTGGATCTGCCTTTCGCGCGGAGCGCACGGCTGTGGCGGCTAACGGGACGAGGCTGAAGGTGGTCGGCGAGGGCACCACGTGGTGCCTTGCCGCCCGCCTGGGATGGCGTTGCTTGTCACTGGCCGCTGCGTCCTGCCTATCCTCTGCAATTGCGACGAGGATTTGCGGTCGCGCGCTGTGCATCGGTAGTGCCGTGCATGACCGCTCGCGACGCATGCCTCCTGCTTGCTGGTGGACGGACCGCCGCGGCAACGGCGAGCTCGATATTAGAGTCCCATGCGCTCCGCTCACTCCCTTCCCTTCCCCTGGCCCCCGCAGGTGCTGGCGACGGCAGCGGAGTTGGCGGCAGTGGAAGACCCCGAGACAGAGTGAGTGAGAGTGGGGCGAGGGGAGCGACGCGATTGGGGACACTGCGTGGGATGCGAGGCTGTTACTCGCAACAGCGATGTTCGCGCTGCCATGCCTGCACCGCACACACATGTCTCTCGCCCACCCCCCACCCCGCCGTCCTTTGCATGCACCCCGTGCACTCACCGCTGTTCGCCATGCCCTCGCGTGCTCACCCAGCAGTTCCGCTGTTCTGCCATCTCGTTCACACCTGTGCGCGTGTGTCTAATCCCACTCCCCTGTCGCTCCGCGCTGCCACTTGTCTCGTCCACGGCAGGCCCTACCGGTCCAAGTATGCGGCCGCTGCTGCACTGGTGCGCCTCTGCCTCAACCCACCCTATTCCTCCATGCGCGCCTCCTTCACGCCCTTCTTCTCCTTTCTCCTGCTCTTTCTCGCGCATCTCCTGCACCTCCGCCGCTCTCCTTGCCTGCTCTTCCTTCCAGAGCCCATCCACCTGCTCTGTCTCGCACATATGTCTCTGCATGACCCGTTCCACTGTCCCTGCGCTCTTCCTCCCCGTCCCTGTGCTATCTCCCCGTCCCTGTGCTATCTCCCCGTCCCTGTGCTATCTCCCCGTCCCTGTGCTATCTCCCCGTCCCTGTGCTATCTCCCCGTCCCTGTGCTATCTCCCCGTCCCTGTGCTATCTCCCCGTCCCTGTGCTATCTCCCCGTCCCTGTGCTATCTCCCCGTCCCTGTGCTATCTCCCCGTCCCTGTGCTATCTCCCCGTCCCTGTGCTATCTCCCCGTCCCTGTGCTATCTCCCCGTCCCTGTGCTATCTCCCCGTCCCTGTGCTATCTCCCCGTCCCTGTGCTATCTCCCCGTCCCTGTGCTATCTCCCCGTCCCTGTGCTATCTCCCCGTCCCTGTGCTATCTCCCCGTCCCTGTGCTATCTCCCCGTCCCTGTGCTATCTCCCCGTCCCTGTGCTATCTCCCCGTCCCTGTGCTATCTCCCCGTCCCTGTGCTATCTCCCCGTCCCTGTGCTATCTCCCCGTCCCTGTGCTATCTCCCCGTCCCTGTGCTATCTCCCCGTCCCTGTGCTATCTCCCCGTCCCTGTGCTATCTCCCCGTCCCTGTGCTATCTCCCCGTCCCTGTGCTATCTCCCCGTCCCTGTGCTATCTCCCCGTCCCTGTGCTATCTCCCCGTCCCTGTGCTATCTCCCCGTCCCTGTGCTATCTCCCCGTCCCTGTGCTATCTCCCCGTCCCTGTGCTATCTCCCCGTCCCTGTGCTATCTCCCCGTCCCTGTGCTATCTCCCCGTCCCTGTGCTATCTCCCCGTCCCTGTGCTATCTCCCCGTCCCTGTGCTATCTCCCCGTCCCTGTGCTATCTCCCCGTCCCTGTGCTATCTCCCCGTCCCTGTGCTATCTCCCCGTCCCTGTGCTATCTCCCCGTCCCTGTGCTATCTCCCCGTCCCTGTGCTATCTCCCCGTCCCTGTGCTATCTCCCCGTCCCTGTGCTATCTCCCCGTCCCTGTGCTATCTCCCCGTCCCTGTGCTATCTCCCCGTCCCTGTGCTATCTCCCCGTCCCTGTGCTATCTCCCCGTCCCTGTGCTATCTCCCCGTCCCTGTGCTATCTCCCCGTCCCTGTGCTATCTCCCCGTCCCTGTGCTATCTCCCCGTCCCTGTGCTATCTCCCCGTCCCTGTGCTATCTCCCCGTCCCTGTGCTATCTCCCCGTCCCTGTGCTATCTCCCCGTCCCTGTGCTATCTCCCCGTCCCTGTGCTATCTCCCCGTCCCTGTGCTATCTCCCCGTCCCTGTGCTATCTCCCCGTCCCTGTGCTATCTCCCCGTCCCTGTGCTATCTCCCCGTCCCTGTGCTATCTCCCCGTCCCTGTGCTATCTCCCCGTCCCTGTGCTATCTCCCCGTCCCTGTGCTATCTCCCCGTCCCTGTGCTATCTCCCCGTCCCTGTGCTATCTCCCCGTCCCTGTGCTATCTCCCCGTCCCTGTGCTATCTCCCCGTCCCTGTGCTATCTCCCCGTCCCTGTGCTATCTCCCCGTCCCTGTGCTATCTCCCCGTCCCTGTGCTATCTCCCCGTCCCTGTGCTATCTCCCCGTCCCTGTGCTATCTCCCCGTCCCTGTGCTATCTCCCCGTCCCTGTGCTATCCCTCCCCATCCCTACGCTATCCCTCCCGGTCCCTGCGCCAACCCTCCCCATCGCTGTGTTATCCCTGGGCGCGGGTGCAGGAAGCATCGCGAGGCAAGGCGGAGATGCTGCTGCGCCTCTTCCACCCGGCTGCCTCACACCACTCCGCTGCTGCCGAGTCTGCACATGCTGCACGCGAGGACGCGGTGAGTGTGGGGGCTCACAATTCAGTGGCCATAGCAGGGCGGGTCCCACCCTGCGAGGAGACAGTCCCTAGGGCTGCGCTTTCGTGCGTGTGGCTACTTTCCCATGCCACTGGCGGCCTGCCTTGTACGTGTATCAGCATTTTTTCCTCCATAGCAGTCAATGCCATGACTCGACATGTACATGCGTGGATGCTATGGGAATGTGTGTGTGTGTGTGTGTTTGTGTGTGTGTGTGTGTGTGTGTGTGTGTGTGTGTGTGTGTGTGTGTGTGTGTGTGTGTGCATGTGCATGTGCATGCATGTGTGCATGAGAGCAGGCAATGGCGGGCGAGATAGCGGACGCGGTGGCAGTGCTGGAGTACAAGAGTGGCGCCATCGCGGCTGACGTGGACGAGGTCACGCGCGCCAAGGCCCTGCTCATGACCGCACATGCCCGCCTGCAACTTAACGAGCCCAAACACCTTCGCCCCCTCATTGTATGCCCCGTGCATGCACGCACTTGCACGCATGCACACACATCCATGCACGCATGCACACACATCCATGCACGCATGCACACACATCCATGCACGCATGCACACACATCCATGCACGCATGCACACACATCCATGCACGCATGCACACACATCCATGCACGCATGCACACACATCCATGCACGCATGCACACACATCCATGCACGCATGCACACACATCCATGCACGCATGCACACACATCCATGCACGCATGCACACACATCCATGCACGCATGCACACACATCCATGCACGCATGCACACACATCCATGCACGCATGCACACACATCCATGCACGCATGCATGCATGCACCTGGGCAGCTCACACCCTGCACGGTGTAACCTCCCCCTTTCCACATATCCCCTTTGAATCTTCTCTCATTTCTCTGGGACTCGTGCTCCCTCCCACTCTGTCTGCTCTCCACATTCCGTGTCCACGCCATGGCCACATGGCCATGCGCGCACCACAGGACGTGTGCAACCTGCTGGGGCTGCTAGCGAGCAACGATGAGGACCACAAGGCGTCCCTCGCATTCCTTGTCAGAGCACATAAATAGTACGACCCCTCCGCTCTCACACACTCTCTCAACGCACTCCCGCCTGCTCTCTGTTCATTCCTTTCTTGTGTTTCCGCGTCCTCTGTGCAATGAATGTTGCTCCCCATCTCCCCATCCTTTCCTTTCCCCCACCACTCCCTGTCACGCCTCTCCCATCTGCCACGCACCAGCTATCATCACTATCTCAACATGCAGTCGCAGGCAGCAGGGGAGGCAGCAGCAGCAGACGCAATGGAGGAGGGGGGCAGGAGTGAGCGAAGGGGGGAGGAGGAGGCGAGGGAGGTGGAGTCCCTGCACACCATCACCACGTTCTACCTCGCTCAGAGTACGTCACACCGCACAGCACTGAACAGCACACACCATCGTATTGCGTCACACACCCCCGGCCCTTCTGCTTTTCTGCAACCCGCGTCATCTGTCTCTCCTCCCAGCCTAGCTGTACCACCACTGTCACTACTGCCTGCTCAACCTGTTCCCTCTTCCCTCTCCCACTCCCCCCCACCCCTTGGGGGTCCATCTGTTCCCCCCTGCGCTGCGCCGTGGGGCGGGCAGCGCTGGCGGCCATGGGCAAGAAGCAGCGCGCTGCGGCCTTCTGCGCGGCCACGCTCACGCGGCAGCTGCGGCTGCGGCAGCAGTTCCGCGCGTGGGACTGGGCGCAGAACTGCGCGCAGCTAGCAGGGTACTACCTGGGCCGCGACCACTTCACCACCGCCCTGCACTGCCTCGCCGCTGCTGCCACCGTGCTCGCCCGCCACACGGCGGGGCAGCCCGTGCTGCCGGGGGGGAATGGGGGGGACGTGGGGGGCGGAGGTGGGGAGGCAGGGGGGGGCGAGGAGGAGCAGGTGCGGGAGGTGGCGGCGAACATCAACATCGGCATCGGGAAAGTGTGAGCTGCTCTCAGCCTCGCTCGGCTCTCTTTCATGTGCTCTCGTGCTTTGCTGCTCACTCGCCTTTGTTTTCAACGCCGCCGTACCCACGTGTCCCTCTTCTCCTCGCCTCTGCACGCTTCACTCCACCCGCATCCTTGAGCGCTCCATCCTGCCCATCCTTGCACGCCTCTACATGCGCCTGCTTTCCTCCCACACTTGTCCTCCCCTCCCACCTCCCCCCACCCGTCCCCAGGCACCTGCGAGTGCTGCAGCGGTCAGTGGAGCTGGACGCAGCCCAGCCTGACGCCTCCCCTGCTGCCCACGGCACCGCCACTCCCACGCCCACCCCTGCCGCTGCCACCGCCACCAGCAGTGCCAGTGCAGCCACGGGCATCGATGCCCCTGCTGGCACTGCCCCCACAGGCACAGGTGCTGCAGCGGGGGGCATGGACGTGGACGGAGGGGGGCGGGAGGGGCAGCAGGAGGGCGATGTGGACATGGGGGAGGGCGCGGAGGAGCGCGAGGGGGAGGGCAGCGAGCGGTGGGCGGGCGAGGGCGACGTGGACATTGCCCTGGGGCCCGACTTCTCCCTGCTGGGACTGGACCCCACAGCTGACACATGCCCACGCATGCTCGCCGATGGAGGGGATGCAGGGGGGGAGAAGGGGGAGGGGCGCGGGGTGGAGGGCGAGGGGGATGTGGTGCGGGAGTATTCGCACGCGGTGATTCACTTCAACAAGGCCATGACCGCCTTCAAGGCCGCTCTTGAGGTGTGCTGCTACAGAATCTGTTTCCTCTTTCCGCATCACAACAAAGAAAAACGCGAACTGTGCTTAAATATAACCCCCTCGGGTCCTGCCCTTCTTTGTTCTCTTATCTGCTGCACTCTCCTGCGTGTCACCCTGGCCGCACGGGTGTCATTCCCTGGCACCAGGTGTACACGAGTACAGACCGCTTCTCAGACCATTTCGACATCGCCATGGACATCAGCACGCTGCACCGGGTACACACCTCACACCACCCTGCACCTCACTGCACCGCAGCACACCCTCGCCCACCATTTTTCCAACTCTTCTTCCTCCTCTTCCTTTTCGCTTCTCTCATAACTGCCCGTTCCTTCCAAGTCCGCATTCTGCGTCCCTCCTTTCTTTTGCAACCAGACTTCTCTTCCCCTCGTCTCCCTTCCCCCCGTTGCTGGTCCTCCCTCGCCCCCACGGCCCTGCCTCCTCCCACCCCCCTTCAGTACCTGGCGTACTATGAGCCCAGTGCACACAGGGCAGCGCTCATCCACCAGCGCCGTGCCACGCGCCTGCTGCCCCTCGCGCCCGCCATCAACCCCTCCGTCTACCCCACACAGGCCGCTCAGGCAAGCAATGCTGCCCTCACTCTCACTGTCCCTCCCCCCCCCCCCCCTTGTCTACTCCCCAACTCATGCGCACGTTGCCTCCTTCCCGTCGCTCCGCCACACACTGCTCTCCTCCCAATACACCCCGTCATGTGCCCCCCCGCTGTCCCCTCCCGGCCGTATCACCTCACGGGTCCCCCCTGCCCTGACCCCCTGCGTGCATGGCAGTGTGTGCACGAGGTGGCGTCCATTGCACTCAACGCCATGGAGCTGGAGGCGGATGCAGCACGGCCCCCTCCCAAGATCATAGAGCCGGGAAAGCAGGTGCGCATGGTGGCATGGGCGCACAGGGGGGCCACAAGACGAGGTACAGCAGCACGGGCATGAGGGGCGAGACAGGAGAGCTCGGGGAAGTGCCATGGTTTGGCTTGGTGTGCGCATGGTGGATGAGGATGGCGGATTGAGGGTTTGTGCTGTGGGCGTGCAGAAGCAGAGGGAAATACTTGCATGGCCCAGCTAACCCGCCTGGATCAAACATCTTGTCTTTTACTCCTCCCTTCCCCCTTTCCTCTTCCGTCCTTCTCCATCTCACTGTGTGTGTGTCATCTCCCCCCCCCACCCCATGGCCCCACAGGCAATCCAGTACTTTGAGCGCTTCATTGCACTCATGCAATCCTCCACGTCAGTGCCACTGCGCTCCCTTCCCCCCTCCACCGTGCTCACTCGTGCTGCCTTTCTGCATACAAGCAACCACCTCTCGTTCCACTTGACCTTCTCGCATCTGTGCTTTCATGTGCCCCTGCTCTATCCCGCTCTGCGTCCCACCATGCGCCATTCTTTTCCACCGGGTCCTGACGTCGTCGTTCCGCCTCATCCCACCGCCCCATCGCGTGTATGCCACCCCACAGCCCCCAGGGGTCAGATGACGTGCGCTTTGTGTACGCGCACTTCCACATCGCGCGCACGCACTACCGCATCTGCACTCTGCTGCCGCCCCAAGGTCCGCCCCTTGCACCACCCTTTGCACCACCCCTTGCACCGCATACTCCCCCTCCTCCATCGCTCGTCCATCCCTCGTCCATTCCTCTCCACTGCTCTCGTTCTTTCCCCATGGTTGCCTCCCTGGGTGCTCTCGTTCTTTCACCATGTGCTGCCAGTGCTATTGTGCGCATGCCTGCTTTCCCTCCTGCCTTTCCCCGATCATGCCTCACCCTGCCTGTCTCTCTCACCCACCACTTTCACTCCACCTACGTGCCTGCCACGCTGTGCACTCGTGTTCTCGACATTTTGTTGTGATGCTCATGCTGTGTCAGTGCAACCATCCTCCTTCCCCATGCGCCCATACTCATGGTCATTGCACTCATGCGATTCCCCATCGCGCCCATGCGATTCGCCCTTGTGCCCGGGGCTGTGTGTGCGCCCATCAGATGGCAAGGATCATCTGCAGCACAGTCTCAACTACTTCAGGTCAGCTTCTCCCCATGCACCTCTGCACACACACAAAGGGGAGCCTTGCTTCTTCTCCACCGCTCCTCTCCACTCTCCCGTGCCTTGCTCGCCACTGCTCAAACTTGCCCACGGGATGACTCTCGCTCATTCTCACCTCCCCCTCTGCGTCTGAACTCTACTCCCTCCTTCCCCTGTTGTGTGTGTGACCGAACAGCAAGTTCTTGGAGCATGCGGCGCGGGTGGGGTTACAAGAGCAGCTGCAGGCGGAGGTGGGGGTGGCCAAGGAGATGGTGCAGCTGCTGCCCACCAAGCTCGCTGCTGACCTCTCACGCCTCTCCATCTCCTGAAAATGCCCCTCGCTTCCCGTGCCACTTACCTCCACCGCTCCGCATCCCCTTGATTTTCATCCACCCTCGTCTCTTCTCGTTGCTGCACATGCTTGTGCGCTGCTGTTAAAAATTACGTGCTAAACATACGGTAATAGGGACGTAGGTGCCTTTCTTTTAGTTCCAATCAAATTTGGATGGTTCTGTGCGCGAGCTTTGATACCTGTGCAACGTATCTTCGTGACCGTCTAACTCGTTTTGTTTTGTGAGCTTGAAATCTCCTAAAACAGTACAAACCATTTCTGAGATACAGTCTCGTCACCGTTTGTCGCGGATATCAGCAACCCTAAACCTTGCGTCAGCCTCCACCCTCTCAGTTCTGGGCCTTCTGCTGGATCTGAGGCACTCGAAAATATCTTGGCCAACTCCGCGCTTTCTCCGCGATCCACGATGCTCCTTCCAACAATCCTGCTCCACCTCCTCGCCTGTCTAGCGTGTTTCATCGTCGGCCTCGCAGTCTTTCCTCTCGTTTCCGTCTCATCGCTCTCCTCTCTTTCCCCGACATCGCCTCCGCGCCGCCCTCGTCTCGCGTCCAGTGCTCTCCGCTCTTCCAAGCAACCCCGTTCTGCGCACCCCACAGCACTCCGCTCTCCGCCACTCGCCTCCGCTAGCCCCGCGTGCTCATTCCCCGCGCGCTTTTCCGCGTCGTTCGCCCCCGCTTCCAGGCATGACTGCCGCCGCCCTCTGCCCCTGTTGCGCTGCCGTGGCAGTCGAGGCCGCAAGCATTCGTACGAGCGGAAGCGGGCGGAGAGGGAGTCGGGCGGCGGTGCGCGTGCAGTCAGCGCGGGAAGCAACCCCTGACGGCCCGCTCTTCCGCGCGCCCGCTCAGGTGACCTGTGCGCACACTGCTTACGCGGAGCCTGCTAGCCGCTGGCGGCTGGTGCATGCCCGCATCGGTAGATCCGCTATTATTACTTCCGTTTAGCTTGCTTGCTCCGAAGTACCCCCTTCCGCCCACCTCATTGCGCCCCTCGCCTCCCTCCCCTCTCCCCTTGCCGCCCCCCCATCCCGGCATCCTCAGCAGAAGAGCCGCCTCCCGCCCGTGAACTCGCCGGGGGCGGGGGAGCGCCAGTTGCGCGCACTGGCGGAAGGGACGCGGCAGGGGGGTTTGGGGAGATTCGGCAGGCGGAGTGATGCGGGTGGGCGGGAGGTTTCCGCGGATGACTACGCGGCAGTTGAGGCGTGGTGGTGGGGGGAGAGAAGCGCCAACGAGGAGCACACACGCGGAGAACGATGGGCGGAAGAGGAGCGGGAGGACGGGGGAAGAAGGCGGAAGGAAGCCAGGGAGGGGGAGCAGCGGGCGACGAGAGGGGATGAGAGTGGGGATAGTCAAAAGAGAGAAGCTGAAAGGGGAAAGTTGAAAGTACGAGTGGGGGATTGCTCGGGGGCGGTCAAGGGCGATGGGTGGCGGGAAGAGGGGGCGCAGGGGCCGTTACGAGAGGGGGAGGTGCGCGGAACTCAATCGCCTGTGGCGCGGCGGAAGGATCGCACCAGCAGGCAGAGGAGCCTCCAGCCCGTTGACACTGATGCTGACGTGGCACGGAGTAGAGGCGGGCGGGTTAGGGAGAGGGCGGGAGATTCGGGGCAAGGGGATGGGGCCAGAGAAACGTGCGGCGACGCAGGGGAGCAGGGAAGGCAGGCGGGGGGGCGAAGGGGGTGGGCGCGAGCTTTGCGCGCGGATAGCTTTGATACGCGGGGGAGTGGATGGGGGGAAGAAGGCGCTGTGGGCGACGCGGCGCAGGGCATGGTGGCGGAAGCAAGGGCGGGAGGGCGGTGGCTAGAGAATTCTCCAGGGGGGTTTGGGGATAGTGCGGACGAGGGGGCGGGGGAGTGTGAGAGGCGGGGAAGTGTAGGCGCACGGGAAGGCGGCGGTTGTGGCAGCTCGGATCCTAGTTGCGGGGCAGGAGAGAGGGGAGCGGGTACGGGGGCGGGCGGCGCACGCAGTGGACCCGCCATGCGCCCAAGGCAGCCCCGGCGCCACCAGCAGCAGGGGCGGGCATCGCCGCCTCCCCACCGATGCGCCTCGCGCAGGCTGCAGCCAGGGGAGGTGCGATCGCTGGCGCGGCAGCTGCACTCCTCCGCGCGATGCGTTGCTGACGTGGACGCCATACTGGCTGCGGCTGTGGGCGAGAGAGGGGAGGCAGCTGGGGGAGGCGCAGAGGCAGAGGGGCGCGGGGAGGGCGGGGCGGGACCAGCAGCAGGACGGGGGGAGAGGGATGACGGGGGTAAAGGGGCAGGGGGCGTGTGGGTGCGCAGTGGGGTGGTGGTGGCGGTGATGCAGGCTCTGGCGGACTTGCACTCGTGGCGTGCTGCAATGCTGGTACACTCTAGGGGGTGGTCACGGGAATGCCAGTGACGTCATCCAAACTAGCCATCTTGCGCGCACAAGGCACACAACGCTCACTTTCCCTTCCCCTCCCCCTTCCCCCCCTTTCTTTTCTCCCTCCCCCTCCCCTCTCTCCTTCCCCTCCGCCTGCGCGCATGTCCCCCCGCCCCGCGCAGCTGTGGCAGAGCTGGCGCGGGTCCCCAGCGTACCAGCGCAGTCCGCACGTGCTGTGCGCGCTGCTCGCCCTGCTCGCGCGCTGCAACCGCCTGCGCCACGCCCTCGCTGTGTTCCGCACCGTGCAGCGCGAGGAGAGTGCCCAGGGCGAGGGGGAGGGGAAGGGGGAGGGGGAGGGGGAGGGGGAGTGGGGACGCCAGCTTCGAGGGAATGAGGGGGCAGGGGTGGGTGCGCGGGAGCAGGCGCAGGGCGGAGGCGGCAGCAGCATAGACACAGCAGTGTACAACGCGGTGATATGTGCGTGTGGCAGGGCGGGCAGGGCGGACATGGCAGTGGCGCTGCTCACAGAGATGGTGGAGCGCTGCAGCCCTGCCAGCCCTGCCAGCCCTGGCACCAGCACTGCCAGCAGCAGCACCCAAGTATCTGCTCACTCGACTGCCAGCACGAGCCAGAGTGGGCAGGGCAGCGGCAGCAGCAGAGTGGGCAGGCAGAGGCATGAGTGCTGGCCGAGCGAGGCGACGTTTGGTGCGGTGATGCACGCGCTGTGCAAGGCGGGGCGCGTGGGGGATGCGGAGGCACTGCTGCCCGTGATGGTGCGCATGCACGTGCGCCCCAACGCCATCATCTTCAATACCCTGCTCTCCGCCGCCTCTGCTGCCCTCACCCCGCCCGCTGCCGCTGCTACCACTACTTCCCTTGACCCCGCCATTGAAATCGGCCAATGGGGAAGCATCAGCAGCAGCAGCAGCAGCAGCAGCAGCAGTGGGGGTCTGCGGGACAGTGATGCGCTGGGGCGGGTGCAGCGCGTGCTGGCAGCGATGCGAGCAGCGGGCGTGGCGCCTACAGCTGCCACAGTGACAGCTGTCATGGCCGCCCATGCCGCCAGGGGTGATGGTGGCGCCGTGCTGCAGCTGTGGGACGCTGTCACCAGGGGGGGCTGGGAACACGGGTATGGGGCAGGGGGGGCTGGGGAAGGGGGAGGCAGGGAAGCAGCGAGCAAGGAGGGGAGCGAGGAGGGCGGAGATGGGATGCAGGACGGATGGGGTGTGAGTGCAGCAGGCGCCCCTGCGGCAGGGGACACATCGGCAGAAGCAGCATGTGCAGCTGATGCGGCATCAGCAGAGCAGGCGCGGTGCATGGTGCATGAGAGGCATGCAGCGGTGGTGCCAGACGCGCCGATGGTGACGCTCGTGCTGGGTGCCATGGCTCGCCTGCGCCTCGTGCCTGCTGCCGAGGCCCTCTGGGCCCTCGCTGAAGCTTCCCAGCCCTGTGTGGTGCAACAAACAGGTGGTGCTGGGGGAGATGCAGGGGAGGGGCGGCAGGGAGGAGAGCGGAGTGCACAGGAGGCGGGGATTGGGGAGGTAGAAGGGTATGTGTGGCGGAGCAAGAGGGAAGGTAGGCGAGCGAGGGGGGATGGTGGAGTTGCGAGGCGGGAGGGTGGTGACAGAAGGGGAGGGGATTCTGGGGGGGAGAGTGAGTCAGGCGCGTGGCAGAGGAGCAGAGAGCAAGACAGGGATGGTGGTGGGGGGGTGGGCAAGGCAGCCTGGGGCAGGTTGGATGGCATGGCAGCAGCAGCGATGGTGGGCGTGTATGTGGCGGCGGGTGATGTCTACCATGCCATGCACTTCCTCCTCTCTGCTGCTGCTGCCCGCCTGCTGCCAACGCCTGCCATGGCCCTTGCATCGCTGCGTGCACCCACACAAGCACCGCTGCCACACTCACCTGCACCTGCCACATCAGTTCCATCCGCACTCTCGCCCTCCTCACCTGCCACTGCTGCACGGCCCGCCATGTCCCCAACGCCGTTGAACATGGTGCTGGCGGCGCTGCAGCAGGCATCTCTGCTGCGCCACATGGACGCGCTGCTGCTCTGTTACCTGCACTCGCCCTCGCCCGCCCTCACCCCCCCCCACCCCGCCTCTCTCGACTCTCCCCGTGCGGCACAGGCTGTGCCAGGGATAGGTGGAGTGGGGCCACTCGACCCTGCTGCCGGCTCATGCCTCCCCATGCCTTCCCACCCACCCTGGGCTCGCCTGCCCTGGGATTGCCCTCACTGCTTGCGCAGACGGGCAGCAAGAGCAGCAGTGCGGGGCTGGGGTAGAGGGGGCAACGGCTGGTTGGAGGAGTGGGAGGGGGAGTATGGAGTGAGGGTGAGTGGTGGCGCGAGGCAGAGGAGTGGGGCGGCAGCACGAGGGACGCGAGTGGGAGAGGGTGGGGACGGGCACGGGGCAGTGGTTGGCGGTGCAGAGTGCTGCTGCTGCAGCAGCAGTGGCGTGGTGGTGAGCAAGGGCACGTGTGAGGTGATGGCACAGGGGTACGGCAGGGCAGGCATGCATGAGCGAGCAGCAGCAGTGGTGCAATACATGGAGGAGCAGGGGTACAGGGTCGCCCCTCACCTCCTCGCCCTGCTGCCACGTGACTAGCACCTTTCCTCGTTGCTCTAGCTCTGGGAGGTGCTACAGTGTGCCTGCTTGGTAGTCGAGTGTGGAAAGTGGAGTCTGCTGAGGGTAGTTGCTGACTGCATGCCGTGCTGTGACCGCACTTGTGCCCTTATTTCAGGTGCAACAAATGGTTTGCGATCTGTCAGCCCCTGTTTGTGTTGCAACCTAGTGATTCAAAGCATGCCTTCGGCCAGCCCACTGGAAAAGATTGGTTCAAACTATCTCACCTGCATTTGTCTGTATAAATGTCCATTGCACTCTACGTGTCCTGGATTCAGGCAGCTCTAACTGGTCTGAAGTTGCTGTTCCATTCAATAACAGAACCATGTGCATGATAAAAGAACAGGGCTAACCCGAAAACGAACCCTGGGGCACAATACCTCCCTGGACCATCTCGGTGTCCAATCCACCTGTGCTGAGTGCAGTCACCGTTTCAGACCAGACCAGACCACACATCAAGAGCAGGCCCCCCTTGCTAGCCAAGATTGTGCCCAAGAACGCCAGGTGAGCGGCACCAGGGTATTAAATGGGAGAGGATAAAAGGGGGTAGAGGGAAGGGCTGGAAGATACAGCAATACAGGAGACGACTAGAGGACAGCAGTAGATTAAGGAGAGGATGTGAAGACAGAAAGAGACAAGGCATGAGAATAATTGAGACACCATCCACGGGAGTGCAGAAGAGGAAAAAGAACTGATGATGGGACAGCGAGGGGGAGAGGAATGTGGGGTGGTTGAGGAAAGCAAATGGTGTTTAGGATGTTAAGGTGGTAGTTCTTGTTTTTGCTTGGAGAACATGTTGACAAATATTACATAATATTCAAGAGATTTGAGGAACAGATACTACCGTAGGCAAACGCACACCATCCAGCAAGCATCACTGGGTAACTGTACGTCTTATGCTACAACTAACCCCTACACCCGGGGAGAGCAATAAACACGGAGGGGCAGTGCTGCTGCCGCAGCAGATCCCCCTTCCCTGCCTGAGATGTGTCCCACCATCCACCTGCGCTTGTATCCCGCCACGCCAACACGCTCAGCAAGCCGCTTGCAGCAGCTTTTATTATGCCTCCAGAGCGCATGGCGGACAGGCACCAGCGGGCAGGAGTGGGACACGGGACGAGCTGCTGCAGTCGCTAGGAGACTCAGCGACGGCGACACTCAACCTTGCAGTGGACGTCGCACGCCGCACGCCCGCAGCAGCAGCAACACCAGCCCCCACACGCACACCGCTTCTCGTTTGTTGCTCGCCCGAAGCCTCAGGCGAGGCGACGGGAGGCTTGGCGCGTTTACGCCCAGTTGCGCGGGTGCCTGCACACGTCGAGCAGCTCCGCCTCGGGGGTGCCGGGGGCGGGTTCCTGCCCACACAGACACGGGAAACAGGCGGAACAAGGGTTAGCACAGCATATGGCAGAAGCGGAGAGAAATTACAAGATACACCGGGGAGAAGGAGACGAGAGCTGGGGGGGTAGATGGGGCGTACTTGGTTGTACTCCCAGCGGGCAGTAAGCGGCATGCTCATGAGGATGCTCTCGATGCGCCCGCCGGTCTTGAGCCCGAAGATGGTGCCGCGGTCGTAGATCAGGTTGAACTCCACATACCGCCCGCGCCGCAGCTGCTGCCACTCCTTCTGCTCCGCGGTGTAGGGCGTGTCCTTGCGCTTCTCGACAATGGGCACGTACGCCGGCACCACGGCGCCCGCGCACTCCTTGGCCAGGTTGTACAGGATCTCGGGGTCGCGGTCGTTCATGTCGTCATAGAAGATGCCACCGCAGCCGCGGCGCTCGCCACGGTGCTGGAAAAAGAAGAAAGTGAAGGGCAAAACAGAAAAAAAAACAGATTTCCACTCTCGAAACAGCAAATGTACGAGATGATTGTTCGTTTTTTAGTAGATGGTTCGTTATGTGTGCATGCGTGTGGGGGCCATGCGAACAAGCGGTGTACCTTGATGAGGAAGTACTCGTCGCACCACTCCTTCATCTTCGGGTACAGCGCCGGATCGATCTTCTCCACCGCCGCCTTCTGGGTCTGCACGTGCCGCCAACACGCCCGTCAAAAGAGGCAGAACCCACCAGGGAGTTAGCAACGGGTGAGCAATAAGCGAGGAGCTGAAGAGGGGGAAGAACAGATAGGCAGCAAGGCGTGCGGGATACTGACCCCGTGGAAGTGCTTCATGTCCTCCTCAAAGAGGTATGAGGGAGTGATGTCCGTGCCGCCGCCGAACCACCAAGCGCGGGGTGCGTCCTTGGCGCCCTCGGGGGCGTCGGTCTCAAAGTAGCGGTAGTTGAAGTGCATTGTAGGGGCGAAGGGGTTCCACGGGTGCATCACGGAGCTGATGCCGCACGCGAAGAAGGGAATCCTGTCGCCCTCCTTGGCGGTTCCTGGCGCTGCCTCGCCCGTGGCTGCGCGGTAGGCCTCGCGAGGCATGGTGCCGTACACCACAGACACGGCCACCCCAGCCTTCTCCCACACATTGCCGTTCTGGAGAACAGCGGAGATGCCACCGCCGCCACCAGGCCTGAATCACGGGCAACGGGAGGATACAACCGAAAAAAGAATCCAGCTTTGTGAACGATCCGACGATCTGATCGCGTGCCAAGCGCATGATGAGACAGAGATATGTCGGATCTGAAAGCACATACCTCATCCAAGCGTCACGACGGAACTTGGCTCCATCGACCTTCTCGATGGCCTCGCAAATGTGGTTCTGAGCGTTCAGCACGAGGCTCTCGAACCGTTGGCGAAAGTTGGTGGGGTCCGGCTTGTTCCAGTCGCGCACTTCACCCTCCCTAAGAAGCGTAAGTGGGATGTCCGGAAGAGCAACCTCCTTCTCAATGCCAACGGTGGCCCGGATGGGCTGAACCTTGGCCTTCACATTTTTTGCGACGTTAGCAGCAACAACCTGTCGCTGACCCACCGAGCGCGCGAAGGAGAGTTTTTCAACCTTGCGAGACTCGGACTTAACCGAGGTTGCAGCGAGGCACGAAGCATTCGCAGCGGAAGACGTGGAGACAGCGGCCATGGTAAAGTGGGAAAGGCCTGATTAAGTTGCTCTAGCAGTTCAGCACAAGCGAGGAGCTGCGGCTGGAAGACAGGAAGAGCGAGAGCAAATTTCAGGATGTCACGATCTTCGAAATCCTTCCCAATTTGAGCTTTCACAAAGCCTTGGGAGTCTCAGGCCAGGTGGCGCATTTGGGAGTGCGCGAATAGCATGAGGAACCAATGCTCGCATGAAGCTCAACGCGCTGCGACGCTGGAAGGCTTCAGCTATGCGCTGTCAACAAGCGACACGACACGTGGAGTTCTGGACGAATAGCGCCAAACCAAAACAAAACGCAATCTCCAAGAGACTGTGCGTCAGCAGGGGCAAACTCTAATCGAGAAGTCCATGGAATTTGAAACAATGCTGAGCCGTCGATCTCTTATCGAGCCAGCGGTTGCGCATGGTGCATCGACAAAAGCGCAATCGCAATCATGTGAGCCCAGAGATGCTTTGATATATGCATCACATTTAGCAATCGCTTTAGCACTATAGAAATAATGCATACACCTCCGACAACTATAAATTATCATGGATAAATCATGATTGTGCTACAGATGTTGAACAATTGAGAGTTCTCTCTTCAGATTGAAACATGTTCATTTGAAATAAAAAAACATGCAGCCAGAATATTGCAAGATTGGTCAAATTATTGAAACAACCCGAACGTGCGTTACAATCCTCATTCAGATGTCATGCAGGTGAGAGGGGTCGAACCCGAATATAAAAGCATAATGATGACCTTATCTTAAAGCCCGTAGGCAAAATAGTGACCCCCCCCCTTCTAGTTGGGTCCACTAGAAATAACGTGACACACTTTGTATTTTGGAGGGTTGAAGTGTTGAGTTTTTACATTTTTTTTTAGCCCACTCGGATAATGAACGACTCTATTCAGTTTGTTCAGGTCGCAAGCATATGCCAATGTGTCGCAAGGTGGCGACGTGCAATTTCCATTCAGCAAGTGCAATTCTCATTGAGTAGCAAGCGCAATTCACACGGAACAACTTCCATGGAAAAAAACAGCACAGAATTACATACCGAGGGAAGAAAAACAGAGTTCAATACCACGAGGGCGACGGGACTAGAGGGTAAACGAGGGGGACGGTGTGAAGGGGGGAACATGAGGGCGACGGGACGCGAGTGTGAACATGGGGAGAGGTGAGAGAGGAGAGGAGACGGGAGGGTTGATTCAAGGCAGGCGCCAGGCCGACGGGAAGGGACGGGAGGGGACAGGAGGGACACGACGGGACGTGACGTGATTTTCAGGAATATTGGTCAATTTGCAACTCAATTCCATCCTCGCACCACCGTGTGTGCAGTGGAGAGGCGAACTCGAAGGCGACGGGATGGGCGAAACAGCGGGTGATGGGAGGTGAGAGACGAAGGGAGACGACGGGAGAGGAGGGGAGAGAGCGAGGGCGACGGGAATGTAAGGGAGATGGCGACGGCGAGGGAACGTGAGAATGGAGAGGCCAGCGGGATGGGAGGGGAAGTCGCGAGAGACGTGACGGGTGACGGAACGAGTGATGGGAAAGAGACGTGACGGGCAGCGATGGGAGATAGCGATGTGGTTTAGTGGGAGAGAGGAACGTGCGGGAAATTCAAGGCGAGCGCGATAGCAACGAGGTGAGTAACGGGAAGGGAGAGAGGAGGGGCGATGGGAGGCAGAGGAAGGGCGAGCGCGAGGGCGACGAGTGGGCGACTGTATGGGAGGCACGGTGGGTGACGCCATGGACGGGGAGGAAAGCGAGAGGGGCAGACGATGACGGGGGGATTCACCATTGCGAGAAAGCGAGAGATGGGGAGGGAGAGATAGCGAGGCGACGGGATGGGAAGGGAGAGATAGCAAGGCGACGGGCAGCACGACGCGATACACAAGGCGAAAGGAAGGACGGTGATATAGCGAGGCGACGGGACGGAAGACAGGATCGCGACGCGACGGTCGACGGGACGACGTCGGGACGGACGACAAACACACGATCGGAGCGGGAGGGCGAGCGAGATGCGATGGGAAGGCAGCGAGAGGGCATTCGAAATGGCACATAGTACTACACAACCACGCCACCTTCACTACGCGTCTAAATTGATAGATCAACGGCCTAAGTTAACGGTTCTATGGCTAGACAGGCTACTTATAACTAAGAAGCCATAAAAAAACGATTGTATGAACTAGAGGTACTTCACCCAGTCCCAACTTGAACCTGAAGCTGGGCCCAAAATCGCAAGGACGTGCGTGAACGATCGCAGTGCTAGTGTCGTGCAGCTTCCCATACAGATATGCGACGCTTGACGTGCTGCGTTGCTTTTTTTTGTTTTGGCGGGAACCAATCAGAAGTTTTCGATCAGCAGAAACGCTCACAATGAAACAGTGCGAAATTGTTTCGCTCGACAAGCCCTTTTTCAAGCTGGCCCCGGGTTCACTATTTTGCATTTCGGTTTTAACAGCGGGATGTGGAGAGAGAAGTTGACAGGATAATCAGCAGACACGTCGTACATGATAAAATGCAACCGAAGAAACTAAAGTGAGAGTTGTCTTAACTATAGTGTTTCAGTTCCAATATGATGAGGAAACTCCCAGCAGAGTTTTGTGTTTCCTAGTACACATGAGGTTCATTAAAGGGCTGTCCCTCCTCAGTTTGTCTTGTTCAACGTAAGCTCAATGCAGAATTTTCATGCGATAGCCCGTGCGTTACAGACCCCCGCACAAAGTTTGGCCCTGAAAAGAACAAGCATAGCAAAGTATAAACATTGAAATAATCGGATACGGATGGTGCTCAACTCCGCTAAAAAAAACATATTCAGCCTTCGTGCACAGAGACTCGTTATCTTTGTACTTCAGAACCCAGCCAGTACTCTCATGGACCCGTTTTGCTACGTGCTTTGGCTCAGACCATTAAAGACCATAAAATACATTACATGGACCCTTCAAGAGCATCAGGTGCACTACAAAACTGGACCTCAATTTGCTGCAACAGAACTCAGTGCACCTTTTACCAAGGTGACAAGTACGACTAGCCCACTCCTGACCACACATCGGGTTAGGGGGGCAGACTTGGAACAAAAAGCGAACTGTATATCATTGTGAGGAGGTGGTGAGGTGACGGGATGGCTGGGAGCCCCATCGACACATTTCAACAAGCAATTCAACGGAGAAACCGAGTTTGAGCTCTGTAAAAATGTATATTTTTCCTACAAGCGTCTGTTGATGCCAACACTCATTCCTAGCTCTGCAACTTCGGCAATTTGTGAAGGAAAAGCCTTCCCCAATCAACCCTTGGCCACTGTTCTTTGCCTGGAGCGCATGCACTGCGTGCCACACCTGGGCATTGCACACTTGATCAGGGCTGCTTGGGAAATGCTGATCTGATGGTGCGGGTGCATCCTGAAGTGGCCCACCTAGTTAGCTGGTTCACTTCCGAAAGATGAGGTGCCGGGATAAAATCCCCCTTCGGCGTTTACAGCCAGCCCCTACTAAAAGGGACTACACAGGTGCTCATCTGGGAGTGGATAGAATAACCTCGTTACCCAGCAAGGCGTGTAAACACATGGGGAGGCGGGTTACGACCGACAGCCGGGGTATACCAAAGGGGGTTTCCCCTATAACCCTTACCTCTACCTGATGGTGCGGGTGCAACACGTATGCATCCAAAGCATGACAAGACTCCGAATATATCTCAGCGGACAAGCGAGTCCGCCCGGGGGAGCTCGCTGTCCGCGGGCAAAAAAAATAAACCTCCCTCGGATGGCATGCCATCCGATAGTCAGGGAGAGGACGATGCTGAGCGTCAAAACAAAACTCTGTTTCAGGGTTGGTCCACCTTGGCTTGTCTGAAATCGGGACGTTCAGCACAAGATGGCAAAGATGCGCCATCGTCATTGGTCGGTGGCAGCGATCATCTTTCGAAACAGAAGCGCCCGCGGAGTAAGGGTAGCCCGTGTACAGTGCAACGAACCCGAGCTACAGTGATGGTGCTCTGCTCAGCACGGCGGTTAAGGGGAAGCGGATTGCAGAAGTTGCGGGGTTGGCGCGAGGCGGATCATGGGAAGGGAAGGGAAGACGCCACGCCATCCTCTCCTCACCGCCCCTGCTTCCTCCCCCCATCCTTCACCTACCTGTCTCTTCAGTCGAGGGAACGCCAATCAAAGTCAGATCAAAATTTTCCCTGACTCGCTTCATTCCTCCATGTCCACTAAAGACCTAATTTGTGCAAGCCCAAGGTAACAACTTACCAGTTCTTCGACTGCTAGATAAGGGACTCGCTGACTACATGAGCTGAAACAACTTTTCTGCTTGCATTGCTAACCATTTTTTTTTTCAGGAACTGTAGCTTGCGACTTCCGCTGTTCTATAGTCCGGACCTCAACAGTAGTCGACACGAACGATATAGTCGGCATGGTGATCCTTAGATTGGATGGAGTGTCAGAGTGGTTACGACACGCTACTGGCATCAGCCGCGGAGATTTTGCCATATGAGAGAACAATGGCGATTCAGCAACGTTTGCTTAGCATTGTTTTCCGCTTCGCATGTCATTCTTGATGGGACTGCCTTGACGCAAACCACGATTAGCATCTACTCCTGTAGCTTCTTTAAGCATTTATAGCAAAAATTCCGAGTAGCATCCGCGTTCGACCGTGGCAGGCGCCGCGTGGGTCCACTTCACGACGCCACCGACATCCATCGTCGTCACGTCCATCATCATCCGCCCAACCAGTGCGCGTCCCCAATGAAGCCCCGGTGGCCGCCATGGATGCCCCCCGTCCTCGTCCAATACCTGTCGCACCTCCCGAAGCTCCGCAGTGTATCAGCCGCGGTGCGCGCCATGGGGCTGGGCCGGCGTGCTCCCGTCGTGGTTCTGTGCCTGACCGTCATGTGGACGCTCAGTTCAGTCGGCCGATTCCACGACAACCTCCGGTCCTGCGATTCCTCAAAACACGGCGCGCGATCCGCGTCTTGCAGCCCCCAGTCTGGTACGAGCATACAAAGAGTACTCATTCAGAGCAGTGACATGCCATCAGCTTGGTCCTCCGTTTCCCATCTCTCCCCCTCCTCCTCCTCTTCCTCCTCCTCCTCCTCCTCCTCCTCCTCCTCCTCCTCCTCCTCCTCCTCCTCCTCCTCCTCCTCCTCCTCCTCCTCCTCCTCCTCCTCCTCCTCCTCCTCCTCCTCCTCCTCCTCCTCCTCCTCCTCCTCCTCCTCCTCCTCTTCCTCGTCTTCCCCTTCCAGCCCCTCGTCCCCCAGCGCCTCCGCAACCACCGCCGGCTCCTCCTCCTCAGTGGCTTCCCCTCTCTCCTCCACGTGTCCGCGGCTTACAATATTCTCCGCCCCCACCGCGTACAACGTAACCACGTATGCGCATCGGCGCGCGCTGCTATCGTGGCTGCGGCTACACCCCGTTCCACGCGTAGTGCTGCTCGGCTCGCACCCCTCGCTCGATGCCATAGCCGCGGAATTCCCGGACCACGTGACAGTAGAGAGTGACGTGGACGTGAACCTGGAGGGCGCGCCGCTTTTAAACTCCGTCCTGGCGCGGATACAAGCGGAGGGCTTGTCGTCTGCGCAGTCCTCTCCCCCGTACCACTCCTCATCCTCGTCCTCGTCCTCGTTACATGCGTCCTCCGTTTGCGATATGGTCATGCTTGTAGATCCCGACGTGCTTCTTTTCAACGATATGTTCTTCGCGGCGCGCAAAGTAGCGGCGCGGTTCCCGTCCTTCATGATCCTAATGTCCTCCTGGGACGTCAACTCCTTTCGCTTCCCCTTAGACGGCCTCCCTCCCTCCATTCAAAGAAGGCAAGCCGCCGCCTCCGCGTCGGCAGGATCGATTAGTCTAGGGTCCGAGGCGGCATCTGGCCAGCCGGTGGACGAGCAGAAGATAAGAGACTTTGTGCGCCGGCGCGGGCGGTTGAATACTGGCGGGGGAGTGGGGGCGTTCTTGTGGAACCGTCCCGCAGATCCCTTGTTACCCGGTAACACCACCGTTCCGCCCTTCTTCCTCGGCCGCGGGGCGTACGAGCGCTGGCTCGTGCACATGGCGTCCGGCGCGGGGGCAAATGAGGGGGAAGCGGACGGGGCGCTGGCGGGGTCTGGCGCGGAGAACGCGGGTAGTGGCGGTAGCGGTGGTAGCGGGGGGCCGGGGCGGAAAGGGCGGAACCAGGGTGCGAACGAGATTCGGATCAGCAGCAGAATACGGCAGGTGGTGGACGCGAGCGACTCGGTGACGGCGGTGCGGGTGTTCTCGGCGCTGGACGTGCAGAAGGAGGTCGAGATGGTGCGCGAACGCGCCATGGAAGAGTTCCCCCTGCCTAAGAAGCCGCGTGTGCAGCGCGCGTGGTGGCAGCGCCGGGGGCCCGCGGGGGACGGCGCAAGCGCGGAGGAGCGGGAGAAGTTGGAGGAGGAGGAGGGGGACGAGGCGGAGGAGGAGCGGCTGCGGTGGCACCCGCTGCCGCGGAAGAGCGTGAAGGGGTGGGAGGTGTATGCGAACATGCACATGGCGCGCTTCCTCTCCCCCGCGCCCTTCTCCGAACTGCTCGGCACGCCCGCCCACGCTCCTTGGCGCCTCTCGCCGTGCTTCGACCCGCAAGGTGCGCGCAAGGGGGGTGCGAGTGAGGGATGGGGATGGTTGCGGCGAGGGAGGGAGGGAAAGAGGGGAGTGAGAGATGTGGAATGAAGGAGTGGTGCACAGGGGAAAGCGCAATGAACGAATTGATCACTGATCTGGCCAGGAGATAAGGAACCAGTTGACAGCACGGCTGAATGGTGAGCCCATTACAGAGCAACAACTGCCAGTTCTCGCCAAGAACCCTGAAACCACACACGCACATTCACAACGGCTTAATAACGAATGAAACCAGGGCCCGTTCTCTCATATTTCCGCCCTGTCACGAACACGAACCACACCAAGGGCTCTTCCGCCCCGCCTACCCCGCACACCATCTCCACATCCCCCCTTCCCCCACGTCGGTTGCTCCAAGGCAAGTGGTGCCCGAGCCTCTATGGCACGCCCGTGTCCACCTTCAGGAGCCGCCCTTGCCGCCCCTCGCTCTGCCTCTCCTTCCTCCCCTCGCTCCTCTCGGCTGACTCTTCTCTTGATTTTGAGAAGAGAATGATACAAGTAACTCGATGTTTAGCTTCTTCCCCATATCATCGACTTGCTTTTCCTTCGCTCTGCTGCGCTCCTTCAAATCACCCTAGAGGGCATTCCACCCAACTCCACTCAACCCAACTCCACTCCACCCCACTCCATTCCGCCCCCCTCCACTGCCCTCTTGTGCACTGGTCTCCATCCCGCCTCCACTCCACTCATTCCCCTCCCTTCACCGCCCCTCCCCGCCCTTCTCTCTCCTCCCCTCCCCTCCCCCCCTCCACTCCCCTCCACCCATCTCCACCGCTCGCGCCACAGGCGAGTCCATGTGTCTGCTGCGGCGGCGCAGGCCAGGCAACTGCACGTGTGAGCACGCACCACTGGCGCGCCACACATCAGAGGACATTCGCCTGCACGACGGTACCTGGTGGTTCTGCGGCCGCCTGCAAGCCCTGCCGCCCGCCTCCTTCGCCCTCAACATCCACCCCGCTCCCTCCCACTCCACCATCCCCACCACCACCGCATCCCTCCTCACCACTGCCTCCTCTGCTACCTCCTCCCCCACCACCACCTCTTCCTCCTCCTCCTCCTCTGCATCTTCCCGTGCGGTCTCCGCATCCCCCGCACCACTCACCTCCTCCGCCTCTGCCTCCGCGCAGCCGTCCGCGTCCGCCCTGCGGCAGCGCATAGCGGCGCTGCTGCAGCTGCCGTCGTCGTCGTCTCCTCTGGACGCCATGGCAGAGAGTGCGCTGGCAGGGGCGGCCTTCTGGCGCGGCGTGGAGGGCATGCCGCACACGCTGGAGCAGCTGCTGCCGCGCGTGGCGGACCGGCACCAGACCGTGGTGCTGCTGGCCGCTGGCAGCAAGGACAGCACCGCCACGCTCAACTTCATCTGCATGTGTGTGGGGCGAGTGGGCGGGGGGGGGGGGAAGGGGGGTGCGGGGAGGGACGAAAGAGCTGGGGCTTAGAAGGGAGTGAGTGGAATGGGAGCAAGGGCTGGGGTGGGATTGCTTGTGGTGGTGGTAAGGGAGCACGTGAGTGGGAGAGCATGTGGTGCGAGTGTGCTGGGAGAGGAGGGAGTGGAGTGGAGGGCTGGTTGAAGGGGTGCGTGGAGGAAGCTTACCAGCAAGCATCTCACCGCAACTTGTTCTTACCACTTTGCACCACTTATTGCATGCTCGTCACACATGCCACCTACATCATGTCGTGCCATGTCATTTCATGTCCTGACATGGTTTCTGGATTCACTCTCATTCTCATTCTTCCCCACATAAAACATTCCCTCTTCAAATCCCAAGACTCCTGCGCCCTTCCACCAACCCCATGTCCCTCACCTCTCATCCGCTCACTTTTCGCTATCCCAACCCCCTCACCCACACTTTCCCACTCCTCTTCTGAACCCCACCCCATCTCCACCCCTCGTCCCAACTCGCGCCCCAGGCTGCGGCGGTTAGAAATAACCAACTTCATGCTGGCAGCGCTGGACGCGGATATGTACTCCTTGGCCTTCCTGCACGGCCTCCCTGTCTTCCTCCACTCCACCTCCTCCCCTCGCTCGCCACCCTCCTCCTCCCTCGCCTCCTCCAAGCCCTGCCTCTCCTCCTCCTCGTCCTCCTCTCCATCCTGTCAAGAGGCAGCAGCAGCAGCGGAGGAGGTGGAGGGAGCGGGGGCGGTGGCGTCGGCGGTGGTGGCGATAACGGTGCATGTGCTGCGTCTGGGCTACTCAGTGCTGTGGTCCGACGTGCATGCCGTGTGGTTCGCCAACCCCCTGCCGCACCTGCTCTCGCTCGGCCCTAACGTGCTCGCCGTGCAGGTCAGTTGCTTTTGCGCGTCCTGCTCTTCTTTTAGGCGCCTCAAAAGTCGTCCTGCTCTCCTTGTCTCCCGCCCACTCATCCGATCAGCCCTGATATCCTCCACTCTCTATCATTCTCTCTCACCTGCATCCACTCCTGATCCCCTCTCTCTCACTTCCCCACATTTCCATGCTCCATCACTTCTTCACCCTCCCCTGTGCATCGTCTCCATCCACGTCCCTTCCCCCCCACCTTTCCCCATCCACCTTCACCCTTCTCCATCCTCCCCTTTCCTCCTCCGCCTCGTTTAACCCCCCTCCTCCTCCTTTCCCCTGCCACCTCCCCACTCTTTCCTCCAAAACCACTGTCCTTCCCTGCCGAACCTCCACCCACCCTCTTCCGCCCTCCTCCTTCACATCTCCTCCTCCCCCTTCCTCTGACCTTCCCCCCAGATCTTCCTCCCTCTTTACCCTAACCCAACCATTGCTCCTCCGTTTCCCCCTACGCCACTCTCCGTTGTCCCCTCACGCATTTCTCCCTCCCTCTCCCACTGTTCTCCCCTCACCTTCCTTTTTACCCCTCCCCTCTCCTCCACTCGCCCTCAACTCCCTCTGCACTGCACTTCACACCACCGCACGCCCATCTCTCCAACCCCACAGAGTGCAGAGACGAGTCGCAAGCGGGCAGCCAATGGAGCGCGCAGCATAGGCGGGGGGCTCATGTTTGCACACGCGGACCGCCCCACACTGGAAGCCCTCGAGGCAGTGGCGGCGTATGCAGCAGCGGTGCGCGCAGAGGCACAGGCGGACAGTGCAGCGGGCACGGAGGGCGGTGGGGAGAGCAGTGCGAGGGGGCGTGCGGACGGGGTGGAGGTGGAGGAGCATCGATCCGCTTATGACGTGCTGTGTGGGGAGCGCGGCGAACTCAAGGTGCGCCCCTTGTGGCGTGCGGTCGGTGGGGTAGAACATGTGGGGAGGAGTGGGGAAGGGAGGGGAGGTAGGGGAGGAAGGAGAGGGAGGAGAGGAAGGAGTGGGAGGAGAGGGAGGAGAGGGTGGAGAGAGATGAGAGCGTTGGAAGCGAGTGTTTTATGAGGGTTTAGAGAAGCTGTTCCAAAAAGTCTGTGGGAGAGTGATGAGCAGCAGCCTCATTCGTTCAAGTCCGCCACACTACTCCCTAACCACAGCTCTCCTCTCACATCCACCGTGCCCCAAATGCCACCCACTTCTTCCCCTCTCCACATTGCTCCCATCCCACCTCCCCTGTGTGCTGCGTGCATGGCAGGTGGGGAGGGAGGAGTGCAGGTGGGGCAAGCACCTGAGAGTGCTGTTTCTGGACCGACAGCACTTCCCCAACGGGGCCGTCTACTCCATCTGGCGCTCGCGCAACGCTGCTGCGTCGTGCCACCGCCTGCGCTGCATGACCCTGCACAACGGGGTCATCGTGGGTGAGTCAACCGTCACTGCGCCCACTGCCCACGCCCAGTAGCCCTCTCTGTGCCCCGTGCCCCCTATGCGCCTCCGATGTTGTGCCGACATGATTGCATTGCAATACCTTGGATTAGGCCCTTTTGTACAGCAGCAAACGGCTTGCTCGAAAGGCCCTGGTTGGACCCAAGGGCTTGCTCGAATAATCGGAGATCGTTCCAAGGAACAGCACGACACACACTTGAGTCCTCTCACGGCGTGACGTTCCCACTGCCTCCTCCTTGCCCACACGCTTCCTATGTGTCCTCTCCCATCCCCGTGTTCCCCATTGCGCCTGGTTCCTGGTGTCAGGGCGGGAAGCCAAGGCGGAGCGCATGAGACGGCACGGGTTTATTTATTACGATGAACACACACGCATGTGCATGCACCCATGGCACCCTAGGTTCCATGCCAGGGACCATTGACGGTTATAGCAAACGGTGGTGGTGTGGCAGCAGCAGCAGCAACAGCAGAAGCAGCAGCATGCATGTGCATGTGCATGGGCATGCGCATGTGCATTGGTGGTTATTTCAACTGAAACAACCATGTGTGCATGTGCCACTGCGAAGTTCACGCGGCACGCAGATGTGTGGGAGGGGAATGATGAGGTCAGTGTTTCATCAAGTGCACGGCATGGCATGCTTACAGAGACTGCCTCAGCACTTCCCAGCCTCTCGGTCCTTTTCGGTAGCCATCATCAGAGGTGTGGAGTGGAGTGGCGGACGGCTGTTAATGCAATGATACCTATAGTGTCAAATAATAGTGGTAGTGTTGTAGTTTTGGGGCACCAATGTGTGTAGATTCCAACACAATTGCTTGGCCTTGTTTACAGGGCCCGCTCGTACTGTAGTAATTGCTTTCGTTGTCATTACTGGTCACTAGAGAAAAATGATACGGTAGGCAGCAGTTGCTGCTGTGCGAATCGTCAGCTTGACAGCTTTTATTCTCCCATGTTCACCTGTACTACTGACCATCAGAGAATATTCTGAGGCAGCACTTCCAGCATGTGGGACCGTAATGAGGATGGCTCGGGAAGGGTATACATTCAGGGAAACCAAGCTCGGCATGAAATAATTCAGTAAAGTGCGCCAAGGATACAGTGTACTGCCGGTAATACACTACGTATGTACGGTACAGAACACAACCCATGAAGCAAGAGGTTATTCCAGCCTCCAAGGAATGTGATGGGATGAGTCGGTTTGGGGGCCTGGGCGGGCGGGCGGGGGTGTTCCATCCGCAGGAGCTGCTAGGAGTGGTCCACAGCTGGTCGGTTGGTTGAATGGTTGAGATGGGAGGGACCGACGTGGCTGGTGGTGGGGTGGGATCATGCCTGGACTAGTGGCACAGGAAGAGACATGGGGTTGATGCCTTCGTGTGCGCATGTGCATGTGCATGTGCATGTGCATGTGCATGTGCATGTGCATGTGTGTGTGCTGTGAGGTGTGTCCCTGTGTCCGTGTGCATGTGCGTCGACGAGAGTACAAGTGTATTGTATGTGTGTGCATGTGTATCTGCATGCGTGCATGTGCATACGTGTAAGCGCATCTGTGTGTGTTCAACTATTATGAGTCGCCACAGCAGGTGCGACCGTGCACTCATGCATGCATGCATGCATTCATCATTTGCTAAATGCAGCACGCTGCATGCATCACTTGGCCAGGCGTGCGGACAGGGTTTCATAAGCACTTGAGATGAGCTTGAAGCGCCGCTCTGCCTCAGCCTGTGGAGGGGGAGGAACAGATACCAAGGGAGGCAATAAGGAGGCAGCAAACGAGCAGGGAAAGAGTTGAAACAAGGGGAAGAAATGAGAGCAGGAATGAAGAGTCAGCACATGCAGCTAGCAGTCAGCACGTGCAGCTAGCAGTCAGCACGTGCAGCTAAGCAGTCAGCACGTGCAGCTAAGCAGTCAGCACGTGCAGCTAGCAGTCAGCACGTGCAGCTAAGCAGTCAGCACGTGCAGCTAGCAGTCAGCACGTGCAGCTAGCAGTCAGCACGTGCAGCTAAGCAGTCAGCACGTGCAGCTAAGCAGTCAGCACGTGCAGCTAGCAGTCAGCTCGTGCAGCTAGCAGTAAGCCCCCCGTGCCCTGCGTGGCCCATGTTGACTTGGCCCCCACCGCGCGTGCACCCAGCTCACCCGGGCCTCTGGCTTCAACCCGTGATGTGCGTCCGGATGCCACTGCTTCGCACACCGATGGTACCTGCACACCCACGGGGGTCACGTCACACGCGGAGGGGCACACATGGCACCGTGCCTAGAGCCTACACAGTGCAGCGACAGCGAGAGAAACGGCATTGGAAAGAGGCAAGGCAATGGGTAGAAGGTGGGGGTGGGGGTCTCACGCTGCTTTCAACGACGCCTGGGTGAGGGGCCCTTGAGTGGCCAGCCCTAGCAGCCGCCTCATCTCCATCTCCTCCCAGCTCAGCCCGTCCTTGCCCCTCCCTGCATCTCCTCTCGATGCCCACTCCTCCCTCTCCTTCCGAATCCTCTCTGTCTCCATCCGAATCCTCTCCGTTTCCTGCCAGATCTGCCCGAACCGCTCCCACGGATTGTCTCGCGGCGGGGCCCACCGCTTGTAGTAGGCGTTCTGCTGATGCCCCGTGCCGTATGGCTCGTAGTCCCCATGGTCGTGGTCGTGGTCATGCCGCAGATGATCGTATGTCACCTCTCCGGTATCCATGTATGAGTCCACCTGCTGCTGCCTCCGCCACGCCTCCGCCTCATCTGCCCGCGACCACCCGCGGTAACCCCCGTCCCTCTCTGCCCCGCCGTGTCCCCTCCACGCGTCCTCATTGTCAAAATGCTCTGCTGATCCGCCCGGAAAATCTCCAGTTGCGCCATTGGAGGAGGAGAAGGGTTGGTGGTTGCGGCGTGCTGAGCGGAAGAAGCGGACGGAGGAGGGGTGGCGGGCGAAGGAGGAGGAGAAGGAGCCGTCCCAGTGGAAGGACGCTGCTGCGAAGGAGCGGTCTCGCAACCTGCAAGGGCGGGAGGCGTGAGGGGAGGAGAGAGGCGGAGTGAAAAGGGGAGAGGGGGAGGAGAGAGGAAGAGAGAGGAGAAAGGGCCATGTGTGCGGGAAGGGTACAGCGTAACGAAAAAGGGCCATGGATAGTTGATGGTAGCAGCCCCCTCGTACCTCTCTTGAATCTCCCGTGCCTTCATGTGCTGCCAATAATGCACCCACGGCTGCTTCCTCCCACCCCCACCTCCACGCCCCCCTTCCCCGAAGCCACTTCCCGTCCAACCCCCCTCATCCTCATCTCTACCCCGCTGTTCCTCCTCTCGCTGCTGCTGCTGCTGGTTGCGCCGCGAACCGCCATGGCTGTCCCATGCATGCGGCATGGCGTGATGATCATGCATCATGGTGACCCTGCTCCACGGCCCACGCACGTCCATGCCACACTGCCGTGCCTCTAGCACGCACTGTGCGTCGTCCACGTTCACTGCACCGCCCTGCACGCCCCGCCACCGCCTCAGCTCCCTGTTTGAAGCCGCGCGCTGCTGCCGCCGCTCGTACTGCCGGTGCTGTGCGGTCGGTGGGAGTGGGGAGGGGGAGAGAGAGATAGAGAGGGAGACGGCGGGGAGAGGGGGAGGGGAGAGAGTGGGAGGGGAGTGAGGGGGAGGGGAGGAGAGGGAGAGGAATGGAGCAAGAGAGAGGAGTGGAGGGATAGAAGAGAGCAGAGATAAACAGAAAGAGGGAAGTGGGACAAGGGCCTTCACGCAGGAAAGAGGCTGGCAGGAGAGATGAACGGAAGACAAGAGGAGCAGAAGGGCAAGGAGTTGAAGGGGGAAAGCGAAGGCTCACCTTGCTTGTTGCCTGGTCCGCATCACACGTGGTCTGCGGAGGTTGAGGAATTAGAGGGGGGAAACGGGGCGGAAGGTAATGGGGTGCAGGGAGCAACGAGGAGAGCATGTGAATTTGCGGGCTGTTCTTGAAGCGGATCAAAACCAACTTCGCGTGCTTTGGCACGCCGTGATGAGGGAAATGGCCGTGGGGAGGTATGCGCATGGGGCAGTGCGCGCATGGGGCAGTGCGCGCATGAAGCAGTGCGCGCATGGGGCAGAACGCGCATGAAGCAGTGCGTGCATGGGGCAGTGAGCGCATGCCGCCGTGCAACGCTTTTGCGAAACACGGGTTCTAGACGCGAGAAAGAGCAGGGAAAAGGGAGCGAGAGCAGCGACGACTCACCGACTGCCACTTGTCGCGGTGTTTCCGCGCGCAAGCCGCGGACGAGTGGAAGGCGCGGGGCGGAACGGCAAGAAGCTTGTCTCTTCTGCTGCTGCTGTGCTTGTCTCTTCTGCTGTTGCCGCCGCGAACATTCCGAAAAGAATCTAAGTCGCTCGGGCAAGCTCCGAGGGTAAGACTAGCCGCAGAGGAAGGGCCAGGAAAACCCAATATTGAACGGTGCAAAGCGGTGGCGAGGCAATCAAGAGAAGTAGCGAGTGAATGGGGAGACGCATTTAACGCGATAGACCGCGAGCGGACGACGTAATGGGCTGCCATGCATCCCGCTCGTCGCACCCCTCTGTCGACGCGGATGTGCGGAGGGGGTACGACCCCGCGCAACGGCACGGCAGAATCCGCGAGGAGATTTGCGAAGAAGACGTAACGCGGCGAGAAACTACAGCGGCGATGCGGATTCACTCTTTGAGAGTGAACGGCAGCAAGCGCTTACGCGCCGTTGCCATCGGCAGCAGTTGGGCTTGGCGAATCGGCACGGGATGAATTTCGTTGCCTTCCGTGCGTCCCCGCAAACGGCGGACGAAGGACGTGACACGGTGTGGGAAGGAGCACAGAATAGGAGTCTCTCCCCACGTGGGATGGGGTCGGTTTCACGCGGGTGGTACTGTACGGTACCCCAAGCAGCTGAATCACTTCTGAGTGCCTCGAGAGAGAGCATAACAGTCTCTACTACAATTAGACGAATATATTCGCTTGTGATATGATGTTTGAACTTCTCTTAAATGCAAGCTTATTCAGAGCCATAAGATATTACATTGAGAAAAAATGCAGGATTATGACCAGTGTTCTGTCATACATACATGCACAAACCCACGTAGAACCATGCATATGGAAATCGATCGATTGTGTGGAGGAGCGGCAAGTATTCCCCAGCCAGGCAAGGCTTGATACTTGTCGTGGCAAGTGAAGGGTTTCGTACGATAAGAGGACACATGGAAAAATGAGGGGAATCGGGAGGTGAGTGTGGGGTAGGGGAAGAGAGGGAAGGAGAAATAGTGCACAGTCTTGGCATGGAAAGCCAATGCCAAATAGGAGGGCTGAGGGCAAAAGAATGAAATGAATATTGGATTTGCACCAGGCTTGAAAGAAAGCAGGATTGGAAGGAAGTCAGTCTGTTTGGAAGAGTTGTAGGGGCGGTATGTAGGCAGCAGGCGAGGTTGAACATAGAAGCGCATTGAGCGACGAGGATGCATGGGTGTTTCAGTGAACATGCAGTATGTCAAGGAGCTTTTTGACCTGCATGTATACACATGCACATGCACACACACATGCATACGCACACGCACATGCACACGCACATGCGCACGCACACGCACATGCACACATTGCACAGACTCACGACCCCACATGCACCCCCACCCTCACACCCACACATGCACGCACCACAGGAAAAAATTGGGATCAAACCAAACCAGCATGAGAAACAAAAGGATAAGAACCAGCAGGAGGCACAACCAGCTGAGGCACAGAGGAACTAGTCTCACCTTTCCCTAGGCCAAGCGCCGCACAGAGGAACTAGTCTCACCTTTCCCTTGGCCTTGGGGCTGAAGTTCACAGCCAGCTGGGTGAGAGCAGGGCCCAGGTTGAGGCTATGCAGCTTGCGGCGCAGAGTGGAGCTGCTATTGGCCAGCACCAGCAGCGCCGCTACTGCATACTCCGCACACGCCACCGACGGACCCCCTCCGCCCTGCACCAGCACCAGCAGCGTCTCGATCCCGCTGCGCCCTGCCATCTCCGCGCGCCCCTCCTCACACGCCGCCACCTGTGCTAACACAGCTAGAGCCCGCTCCACCAGCGCCACTTCATCCTCCTCACTGCCGCCCCTCTGACTGCCGCCCAGACTCCCCCCGCCGACTATACAACCACCAGTGCCAGCAGCAGCAGCATCATCAGCGGGGGTTTTTTTGCAGGCGGCAACCCAGTCGAGCAGCATGTGCACGGCGCCCGCGTGGACGAGCCTGGGGCGGTTGGGCGCGACAGTGGAGAGGCTGTGCAGAGCAGTGGCAGCGTCCTTGCGGCCCTTGGTCACTGTGCTGTCCGCCAGGAACCCCACGAGCGCGTCCACCCCGCCCAGGTCGCCGATGTGCGTGCGCATGGCATCGTCCAGCTTTGAGAGCGAATAGAGCGCCACTGCTGCATTGGCGCGCGTGGACGGGGACGTGGCGGCTGGAGGCAGCATGGTGGGCGAGGAGAGGGAGGGGCCTGGTGACGCGTGCTGGCTGTGGCTGTGTGCTGACACGTGCGAGTGAGAGTGCGAGTGGGAGTGCGAGTGGGAGTGGCGAGAGGAGTGGGTTTGCGTGTGCGAGTGCCCGTGGGTGTAGCTGCGGCTGTGCGCATCGGAGCGCGGATTCGAGTCTCCGATCAACGGCGAGGTGCCGGGGATGATGGGCATCGTGGGAATGGCAGAGCCACGCAGCAGCACGATGAGCAGTTGCACGGCGCCTGCATCGTGGATGATGGCCTTGATGCCCCGGCACACACTCAGGTTCACCAGTGCTGATATCGAGTAGTCCACTAGCGGGCTTGCCAGCACAGCAGCACCCGCGCTGGCAGCACCACTGCCAGGAGTGTACTTAAAGCCGTTGCTGCCGGAAACACCTGTGGTTGCAGCAGCGCCAGCAGCAGAAGCGGCGTCGGCGGCGCGTTGCAGAATGAGCACGAGCGCGGGAACGGCGCCCGCAGCCACGATGGCTTCGCGCGTCTCCTCCCCCCGCCGCGCCAGCTGCCTCAGCGCGCGCGCCGCGTCCACCTGCCGTTCCACCGCCTCTGCTCTGCTCTCGCCTAACCCGCCGCCGTCATCACCACAAACCAGAGCCAGGTCGGCAACCATGCCTTCCACGTCATCTGGTCGGCAGGGCTGGCGCTTCGGCAGGGGTAACTGCTGCTGCTGCTTCTCTCCCCCAACCGCGCCCTCCGTTCCCCCCATTCCAATCTCTTCCGTCGATTCCTCCTCCCCCTGTCCGTCTTTCGCCTCCCCTGCCTTCTCGTCCGTGGCCCCCCCTCCGCCAGCCACGGCGCGCGGGCTGGGCTGGCTGGGGCTGGGCGTGCCCGAAGCAGTACACGACTGAACTCCCCCGGACGCTCCCCCCGATGCCCCCCCCGCGACCACTTTCACTGGTGAAAGCCCGCCCTGCCTCTCCGCGCACGCTTCCGCTGCTGCGCCCAAGGCCGCGGAAGCGATGGTTACTTCCGCGCCCACTCCCGCGCCCCCCTGCGCCCCCTCCCCCAGCTCCTCTCCCGCGCTGTCGACTGCTTTCGCAGCAACTCCGCGTGCATTCGGCGGCGCGTCGGCAGAATCGTCATTCGAAGCGCCGTCCGCGTCAGAGGGGTCGAGCAGCGAAGAGAAGTTCGAGTCGCAGGGCGGCGTGAGGTCATTCGGGAGCGCGAGCAGCCACTCCGCCACCTTATTGCTATGGTGCCATCGCCACGCCGCTAGAGAATTCATCGGGCTGCCGCTGCCCGCGCCGTCTCCCCGCGGAATATTCTGCCCCGCCTGGGTCGTGACGTGCGCGCCGCTCGACCCCGTTGCGGCGTTATTCGCGCCGCTGCCGCCGCCGGCGCTGCCGCTGCTGCCTGCGTACTGTCGGAACGCCCGCAAGTGCTCTTGCTGGCCCGCATAGTGCGGCGGGGGCGTCACGCCCCCTTCGTCGCTCGCGATTTCGTCGCACGACGACAGCTCCCCGTCGTCGCATGAGTCTCCCGCCGCACCTCCGCTCCGCCGGTCCGCCTTCCCCTGCGCCGGCATCCCGTCCGCGCAACCTTTCCCCCTCCCCCTCTGCGTCAAACCGCTCTCCGCAGCCGCTTCGCCCGCCTCTCCCGCAGCATTGCGCAACAGCTCCTCCCCGCCGCTTGGCGCGGCGTTCCGTCTTCCCAGCCGGCTGACTGGAGCTGTCCCGTCCGCAGCGGAGTGAAACTGATGCGCGGTGTTCGACGCGGGAGGGACGGGAAGCGGCGGCCGGTGCGACGAGTCGTAGCTTGTGCTCAGGCAAATGCGGCCCGCCGTCGGAGGCGGCGTGATGGCGCCATTGCGGCCAGGCGACGCCCGGATCGGAGGGAGCTCGAACGACCGTCGAGACTCGCGAGCCGAGCTACTACCGCCGCCGGCTAGTGGCTCAGCCGAGACATTGCGGCTATCCGCGGGCGGCGCGTCGCGCGATGGCGACGCGGCCATGTTGCTTGCGACGCACGATATGTCAGCCCATGAGGCGCAGCTTCCTGGGCCGCCGCCGCCGCTGGTGCAGACATCCTCGCTCCCTCCGCGGCTCGTGGCGCTTGTCGCGCTGCGGCGAGAGCGGCGGTCCGAGCTGAGCTGGCGGATTTTGCGCACCAAGTTCATGGCGCGAGGCGGAAGTCGACAGGGTGTCGGAAGAAAAAGCAGCGGCTAGTCGGTAATCGTTAAGGTTTGCGCTGCGAGGCACACTTATGGGGAAAGACGGGGAGCTGAATATTGCTGTCGCGAGGGCGTTCGCGCAATGCTCGTACGCAGTATGGCTCGAGTGGTCTCGCGGATGACTCCGAACGCGTCAGGAAACTTTGCGATGAAGCCCAATCGACAAGGCGATGCAACCACCAGCGGCGCGCGTCGCAACACTCCGTCATTGCATGTCCAGCCGTCGCTGTCTCGGCAAGTTATCAGATTCCATGGTTAGAGTCGGGTGTGATTTGTGGGGGAATGGCTGGTCACTGGGTGTCTCAGCCGACTCTCGTTACTGGTAGCCTACCTGGCCCAATGTGAGGGGTGGTGGGTTGTGGTGGTGGTAGCGAGGGGTTCTTGTTTGCACTACTGTCTCATGTTGCTTGCCTCACTGCTTTCCTTGCTGATGGAGAGAGAGAGCGTAGAGTACAGGCAGCACAATGCATGGTTCTCGTTCCTTCTCATTCAGCCATACCAGCAGGTCAGATAGTAGGTGGTTGCGTTTTTAGTGAAGGGGGGCCGGTTTGACTTGCGGGCGATTTTCGAAAAAACCCTCACTGCGCTTAGTGTACACGTACCAGTATCCCCCCACCCCCATTGTGCTGGCACGTCACAGCACGTCTTGTGTCCGAGGGTACGGACAGTCGCGTCACCGATGGCTACAGTCTCAGCTGATTACGGTCAGTCGACCGGGCAGTCTTTGGTGAGCAAACAGAAGAGCGTTCTGGTTAGTTGGGACTAGTTTCTGTGGCGAGGAGTGACTGACAGATAGACAGACGTGGGATGTTTATCGAGCTGCAAATGGAATTTCCGGTTTGACATTGTCAAATAAATTGCAAGAATAAGGATCTAAACTGTCTTGAAAACGGATGTACCAATACGTTTTTTTCCACCATCATACTTCTTTTTCCCCGTGGCTCCTAGTGTTTCTGCCAATCTTTGCACAGAAACTGTATATACTGTATTGGAATGCTTGCTTGAGGGGAAATTATACGCGCAGTCATAATTATGGCCGTATTATCACGTCTGGTCACGGGGTCATCACGGACAGTCACAGTACAGTACCTCGCTATCACGCATGATCACAGCGCTATCACGCTTGGTCACACCTCGCCCCGCAGGGTTATCACGTTTGGTGACTCGTTGAAACGCCCGCCAAAAAGTCGAAACTCTAGAATCTACTGTATAGAGTCGGGTAAAATTATCTCGCGCGCGTTTTGTCTGTAGCGAAAAACGTGATGTCACAGCCGAAATACACTCGGACCTTGTTAGGAACTGATGCAGGATAATCCAGAGTCTGCATTTTGCAGTGAATCAACGCCATCAATAGCAGTTGCGATTTTACCATTAATCAATTGTGAATGATACCTTGACATTTTTGCTTGCACACCCAATAAATAATTCAAGTACAAAGTGTATTTTTTATATCAGACATGCGTCAATCTTTAATTTGAGTAGGCATATGGTGAATTAGACTAGCTACAGGGATACACATGGCAATGGTTCCCTGTAGCTAGTCTAATTCAACATATGCCTACTCAAATTAAATATTGACGCATGTCTGATATAAAAATTACACTTTGTACTTGAATTATTTATTACTGGGTGTGCAAGCAAAAATGTCAAGGTATCATTCACAATTGATTAATGGTAAAATCGCAACTGCTATTGATGGCGTTGATTCACTGCAAAATGCAGACTCTGGATTATCCTGCATCAGTTCCTAACAAGGTCCGAGTGTATTTCGGCTGTGACATCACGTTTTTCGCTACAGACAAAACGCGCGCGAGATAATTTTACCCGAATCTATACAGTAGATTCTAGAGTTTCGACTTTTTGGCGGGCGTTTCAACGAGTGACCAAACTTGATAACCCTGCGGGGCGAGGTGTGACCGAGCGTGATAGCGCTGTGATCACGCGTGATAGCGAGGTACTGTACTGTGACTGTCCGTGATGACCCCGTGACCAGACGTGTTAATACGGCCATAAATGTGACTGCGCGTATAATTTCCCTTGCTTGAGGGGGCGAGGAGGAGCCAGTCACACCACCTGATCCGCAGTACAGTATTTTCGCCGCGTGAAACTTCAGGCGACAGGTGAACATGGCGCCATCCAAAGCGTTTTCTAAACTCCGAAAACATTTATCCCAACAAGCACGGTGTGTGTTTTTTCCCACGTCATGTGAAAGCCAGAAATCTCTTGTGTTTTTAACACCATGTCAGAAAGCGCTCCTTCCGAAGTGCGCACCTTTCCGAAGGATTCTGACAGCGATTTGGAGAGTGACGAAATCAAAGGGTGACTAGTCTATTGAGAAAGTAAGCACACCATGAGCGAAAACAACGCGGTCGTGCCGTACGAGAGCTGCTCTCTGCTCGCATCCCACCTGTCATGGCGACAAAGTGCTGGTTGAGGAGAGGACATGTTTTGTCCACAACAGCTATGCATGCGAGCTATGTCATGTTGCCCCCCCTCGAGCTCCTTGGATTGGAGTTGGTTGTGACGGGTCATACAGCTCTTGTTCATTAAAATCCTTGCAGCATACTATAATTCTGTACACCTAGAAACTTCTGGGTTATTGTATCGCAAAGTCTGCAACCTTGTGTTGAGGAGCTGCAAACGCATCCAAGGCTACTTTAGCACTAGCTCCAGCACAGATTTTTGTGCATAGATGCTGTTATGAATGAACTTGCAGAGTGCGCAGTAAAACGAATAACGAGAATGAACTCAAAGAACTGACGATACAATGAAAGTGACGAGGCCTAAATAGGGGAAGTCCTAGCTAGGCGGGGAGGTTGGGCGAGGATGGCTCGGTGATGGTTGCGATTGGTGTGGAGGCGACTCGGGAGTGGTTCGGTGCGACGAAATAGGAAGGACAGGTTCGTCGCGTGACCCTCGGGATGGCCTCGCTAACGAGTGCCTCAGTAAGGATTCTGAAAATCCTTACAGCTGCTTGCCAAAAAACACATTATCCTTGTGTATGGTCAATTGCTTGTACAAGTGTTTACAGTTATTGTAGTGTCAGACATACATGACCTAGCCTATGTAGGCTGTAGCGGGGTAGACACTAAGGGGTACTCAATTCTAGGGTTTCACATTTGTATCACACACTTTCCTACTTCATTCATTCCTCTTTCTTCACATGGTATAGAGAGCGGGTTCCCTAGTGGGACCGTTTCTTCCTAAGGGCCCACAATTCTTTTTATTTTTTTTTCCTAACCTGCCCGAAGCGCGCTTCGCGCTCTGACCTACCCTACCCTTTCGCGGCCCCTTAGCGGCCTGCCCTGCTCCTGAGGCCCGTCGCGGCCCCCCCTTTGCGGCCCCTTCGCGGCCCCCTCGCGGCCCCTTAGCGGCCCCTTCGCGGCCCCTTAGCGCCCCCTTCGCGGCCCCTTAGCGGCCCCTTAGCGGCCCCTTCACGGCCCCTTCGCGGCCCCTTAGCGGCCCCTTCGCGGCCCCTTCGCGGCCCCTTAGCGGCCCCTTCGCGGTCCCTTCGCGGCCCCTTCGCGGCCCCTTAGCGGCCCCTTCGCGGCCCCGCCCCGTTGTCCGTAGCGGCCCTGCCCCGTCGCCAGTCGCGGCCCCGCCCCGTCGCCACCCGGGTGTCGCCCCTGCCTCGTCGCGACGCCTCAGCGGGACCCGCGCGTCGCCCCCGCCTCGTCGCGACGCCCCTGCGGGACCCGCGAGGCGCGGCTCCTGCGCGCCGCGACGCCCCAACGGGACCCGGGCGTCGCCCCCGCTCGTCGCGACGCCCCTGCGGGACCCGCGCGGCGTCGCCCCTGCCCGCCGCGGCGCCCTGCCCTAACCCGCGCCCGACCTGCAGCAGCCGCCCCTGGCCCCTGGAGCAGCCGCCCTTGCAACAGCCGCCCCTTCAGCAGCCGCCCCTGCAGCAGCCGCCCCTGGCCACTGGAGCAGCCTGTCACAATAGATTTATATCTATTTAGTATAATCTGTCTGTAGTGTAGCTGTTGTGTAATTCCCTTGTATGGTGGTGCACCTCTTTCACCTTTGTTAGGTTGCTATATGTACTCGTGTGCTATAGTGAACCTCCAACCATTTTCAATTCTCCTTGGCACAAACTACTCGACACCCGCTTGGCCTAGGCTACTAAGCCTAGGCCCTTAGTTAAACCAAGTTACTCGTTAAGTTAGTCTCGTCGCATGGTATCAGAGCTAGGTCGTTCCCGACCTATTTCTGAAGGGCCCACCGTTAACCTTCACAATGGCGCGTCCCGTTAACCAGCAAATCGCGGCCCCGTTCGTCCTTTCCCGTCGCTCGCCCGTAGCAAAATTCGTCACGGTAGGCATGACGGACGCTACGGTCGCGGCGGGAGTGACGGCGATCGTCGACCCGCTGCTTCGCGCCGTCGTTTGCGCCCCCGTCGACCCCGCGCACTACCCGCTACTGCAGCCCGCCACCCGCGCGATTTCCACTGCTGCAGCCCGTCGCCCGTCCTGTCGCACTGCCGCCCGTCGCCAGATCCCCGCCACCCGTACGCACTCCGCTGCCCGTCGCCAGGTCTCCGACCGCCCTCCCGTCGACTTCGCAACTGCTGTGAAGGGAGTGGCGGGGGTGGCGAGAGTGGTGGGAGTGGCGGGAGAAGCTGCTGCTACGCCATTGCACGCGCCAAATCGTCCGCGACCCGCACCCCGCACCCCGCCCGTCGCCCGTACGCCACCTGCACCACCTGGCGCCGATGCCGGGGGAGGTTCAAGGGGTGTGGGTGGTGAAATTTCAACTGCAGCATCATCCGCCTCCTCCTCCTCTCATCCCTTGCCCCGTGCCCATGCCCGTGCTGTCCGCTTGTGTTCCACGTGCCCTTGCTGTCCGTACCCGGTTGTGCCCCGCCAGTCTCACCCGTGCTGTCCGTACCCGGTTGTGCCCCGCCAGTCTCACCCGTGCTGTCCGTACCCAGTGCCCCCCGTGTTCCCGTGCTGCCCCCCGTGTTCCCGTGCTGCCCCCCGTGTTCCCGTGCTGCCCCCCCGTGTTCCCGTGCTGCCCCCCGTGTTCCCGTGCTGCCCCTCGTGAGCCCGTGTCCTGCCCCGCTCTGCCCGTGTTGCCCCGTTCTGCCCGTGTTGCCCCGTTCAGCCCGTGTCTTGCCCGTTCAGCCCGTGTCCTGCCCCGTTCTGCCCGTGTTGCCCCGTTCAGCCCGTGTTGCCCCGTTCTGCCCGTGTTGCCCCGTTCAGCCCGTGTCCTGCCCCGTTCAGCCCGTGTTATGCCCTGTTCTGCCCATGTTGCCCCGTTCAGCCCGTGTCTGCCCCATTCAGCCCGTGTTTTGCCCTGTTCTGCCCGTGTTGCCCCGTTCAGCCCGTGTCCTGCCCCGTTCTGCCCGTGTTGCCCCGTTCAGCCCGTGTCCTGCCCCGTTCTGCCCGTGTTGCCCTGTTCTGCCCGTGCTGCCCCGCTCTGCCCGTTTGTGCCCTACCCGTGCTGTCCGTACCCGTTGGTGCCCCACCCGTGCTGTCAGTTCTCGCTCGTGCCCCACCCGGTCTGTGCTGCCCGGTCTCGTGCTGCTCGTGACCCCCGTGCGGCCCGTCCCGTACAGCACCTAGTTGCTACCCGAACCCGTTACCCGTACCCGTGCTCCTCGCACACCGTGCACCAGCTGCGGGGCATTCAACCGCAGCCGGGCACCTGTTCCACCGCGGTGGTTCAGATGCTGCTTGGTGGTTGCTGCTTGTCAGCTTCAGAGGGGGCCCCTTGCTGGTGTTCCCACGCCCTGTAATGGGGTTCTACAGGTGTACCCCTTCAAGGGGGGCTCTGCACATGGTCATGCACTTCAGGCAGATAGGGGGTGTGTCACAATAGATTTATATCTATTTAGTATAATCTGTCTGTAGTGTAGCTGTTGTGTAATTCCCTTGTATGGTGGTGCACCTCTTTCACCTTTGTTAGGTTGCTATATGTACTCGTGTGCTATAGTGAACCTCCAACCATTTTCAATTATCCTTGGCACAAACTACTCGACACCCGCTTGGCCTAGGCTACTAAGCCTAGGCCCTTAGTTAAACCAAGTTACTCGTTAAGTTAGTCTCGTCACACAGCCGCCCCTGAAGCAGCCGCCCCTGGCCACTAGAGCAGCCGCCCCTGCAGCAGCCGCCCCTGGCCCCTGGAGCAGCCGCCCCTGGCCCCTGGAGCAGCCGCCCCTGCAGCAGCCGCCCCTGCAGCAGCTGCCCCTGCAGCAGCCGCCCCTGGACCTCTGCTGCCGCCCCTGGCCCCTGGAGCAGCCGACCCTGCAGCAGCCGCCCCTGGCCCTTGGAGCAGCCGCCCCTGCAGCAGCCGCCCCTGGCCCCTGGAGCAGCCGCCCCTGCAGCAGCCGCCCCTGGCCCCCGAAGCAGCCGCCCCTGGAGCAGTCGCCTCTGCAGCTGCCGCGGAGCCCTCGCCCTGCAGTGGTAGCGGCCTTGCCGTTGCCACCGTCGTACGCGTGCCCTTTTCGCCACTGGTGAGCACTGCCCTGCCCGTACTGCTGTTACTGCTGCTCCTGCTGCTACTGCTCTTTCTACTGCTACTGCTGCTCCAGGCGTGGCCAGATGCAGCTCCAGCGCCGTCCGCGTGAGTCCCTCACGCCCCAGCAGCTTCGTGAGTGGTACGCTAGTTGGGGTTGTCGGGGTGGCCATAGTGGGAGTCGTCCTGGAGTGAGTAGTTCGGGAGCTTCTTGTAGTGGCCAGGTGCAGCTGCAGCGTCGTCTGCGCGCGGTCCTTTCGCCCCAGCAGCTTCGTGAGTGGTACGCTCAGCGTGGAGGGTCACGGGGTACTGCTCGCTGCCCGTACGTCATTCGCACTGGTGCTCGGACTGGTCAGCCTTGCGGGACGTTTGGTCACACAGAGTCCCGCTGCTTCGCCCGTCTGAGCGACGCCTGGCGTACAGAGTTTGACGACGCGGCTGAGCTCCCCGACTGGGTGGAGCTGCTTAGGCAGAGGGTAGATATCTATGCTCTTGACTATGATGCTATCCTCACTGCCATGTATGCATTGCCTACTAGTGCTGAGGGTGTCTGTTACCTGTGTGGGCCGCCTGACCCCGGTATCCAGTCTGCTGCTCTAGGTACTGGTGAGGCTGCTGCTCTAGGTGCTGGTACGTCTCCTGCTCCAGGTGCTGGTGAGGCTGCTGCTCTAGGTGCTCGTGAGTCTACTACTCCAGGTGCTGGTGAGTTTGCTCTCTCTGGTACTGCGCCTGCTGCGGTCTTACACACCTTCACCCTTGACTCGGGTGCTTCCCGCTCCTTCTTTCGAGACCGCACCACACTCACGCCGCTTAGTCGGCCGGTTGCAGTCTCCCTGGCAGACCCCTCTTGGGGTCCTGTACTTGCCCACTACTCCACTGTCCTACCGTGTCCGGCGGCCCCCTCTGGCTCCCTGTCAGGTCTTTACCTCCCCTCGTTCTCTACGAACTTGGTGAGTGGTGCTGACCTAAAGGATGGAGGGGTTGACCAGTTCACTCCTGCGAGTCAGCGAGTGACCCACTGCACGTGTGCTCGGACGGGCCGACACTTGGCCACGTTTACCCGTCAGCCGGGGACGAGCCTGTACACACTGACTACCGAGTCTCCTCCGGTTGCTGCGTCTGGTCAGGTAGCTGCGTTGGGTCAGGTGTTTGCTGCAGCGTCTCGGTCTGGTCCTGAGTCTGCCCCCTGCTCTTGTCGCCTCCTGTCCCACCAGACCCTCCTCTGGCACCACCGCCTTGGTCACCCCTCCCTGCCTCGTCTCCGAGGCATGGCCTCCCGTGTCCTTGTCTCTGGTCTCCCCCGGTCCCTCCCTCCCCTTCCTCCGGGGCCTGCCCCTACCTGCGTTCCCTGCGTCGAGGGGCGGCAGCGCGCCGCTCCTCACTCCTCCGAGTTTCCTCCGACAGAGGCTCCACTGCAGACTCTCCACATGGACGTGTGGGGCCCAGCCCGCGTCCGTGGACAGGGTCACGAGCGTTACTTCCTGCTGGTGGTTGACGACTTCTCGCGTTACACCTCAGTCTTCCCCTTGCGCCGCAAGGGTGAGGTCACTGAGGTGTTGATCGACTGGATCCGCGCTGCCCGTCTCCAGCTCAGAGAGAGTTTCGGCTCGGACTTTCCTGTTCTGCGTCTGCACTCCGACCGAGGTGGAGAGTTTTCCTCCGACCTTCTGCGAGCCTTCTGTCGTGCGGAGGGCATCCACCAGACGTTCACGCTTCCGGCCTCTCCACAGCAAAATGGGATTGCTGAGCACCGCATTGGCATGGTCATGGACGTCGCTCGTACGTCCATGATCCATGCAGCTGCTCCCCATTTTCTGTGGCCGTTCGCGGTTCAGTACGCGGCGCATCAGCTCAACCTTCAGCCCCGGGTCTCTATGCCGGAGACCTCCCCTACTCTGCGGTGGACGGGGAAGGTTGGCGATGCGTCTGCGTTCCGTGTCTGGGGATCTCGAGCTTTCGTCTGCGACTTGTCTGCGGACAAGCTGTCCTCCCGTGCTGTTCCCTGCGTCTTCCTTGGCTTCCCCCCTGACGCGCCTGGTTGGCAGTTTTACCACCCCACCTCGCGCCGTGTTCTGTCCTCCCAGGACGTCACGTTTGATGAGTCGGTTCCGTACTACCGTCTCTTTCCCTACCGCGCTGCCCCCCTCCCCCCCCCGCCGCTCTTCCTCGCGCCAGGTCCCCCCCCGGTAGACCCCCTCCCCCCTCAGGGTCCTGTCCCCTCAGGTGTGTCCCAGGTAGACGCAGTCGAGCCTGTCGAGGTAGCTGTTGACTCTGTTGCTGCTAGGGGTGCTGAGCCTGCGGGTGCCGGGTCTGGGGGTGCTGAGCCTGAGCGTGCGGAGCCTGGGGGTGCTGAGTTTGGGGGTGCTGAGCCTGCGCGTGCGGAGCCTGGGGGTGCTGAGTCTGGGGGTGCTGAGCCTGGAGTTCCTGATTCTGGGGGTGCTGAGCCTGGAGTTGCTGAGTCTGGGGGTGCGGAGCCTGCGGGAGCTGGGCCTGCTCGTGTGGAGTCTAGCGGTGCTGGGCCTGGAGGTCCTTCGTGTGCTTCGTCCCGGCGGGAGCTACCCTCTCCACAGGAGCTGCGCGAGTGGTTTGCTCGGCGCTGGAGCCGTGCTGCTGGAGCTGGTGGTGCTGCCGGTACTGGAGGTGCTACTGCTGTTGGGGGTGCTGGAGCCACGGGTCCCAGAGGTGCTCGTACTGGAGGTACTGGAGCTGCTGGGCCTGGTGGTGCTGCTGGTGCTGGAGCTGCTAGCGGTGCTGGAGCTGCTAGCGGAGCTGGAGCTGGCGGTGCTGCTAGAGTAGGTGCTGCTGGGGGTACTGGAGCCGGAGCTGCTGCGTCTTCCGGTGGTCCTGCTGGAGCTGGAGCTGCTGGAGGTGCTGCTGGAGCTGGTGGTGCTGCTGGAGTTGGAGCTGACGCTGGGGGTGCTGGTGCTGTCCCTGCTGGTTCTGGAGGCGCTGCGCGGCCGCGGCCGTACTTCGTTCCGCTCTTTGAGCAGGTTCTTGGTCTTCCGCCTTCTTCTGGTCCTGCTCCTTCCTTAGAGTGTCCACCGCCTGTCCAGTCCGAGTCACAGTTACAGCTGGCCTCCCCACTGCCTGCTCCTTCTCCCTACACTGGTCCTACTGGAGGTCTTGCTGAGCGTCGTGAGCCTGAGTCGCGTCCTGCGTCGCCTGTTCGTGCTGCTCGCACTGGTCGTCGTGTTCCACGTCAGCGCCTTCCTGCGGTCCCGGGCACGCACCAGATGGCACTGCGTCCTTCCACTGCTCCACTGCGTGTCCCTTTGCCGTCTCCTCCTGAGTCCTCTCTTCCTGCTCTTGCTGACCCGGCGTCTGACTGCCTTCGTGCCGCCAGTCCTACTGTCACGCGTCTCCTGGCTACTGTTGTCACTGACCCTTCCTTTGAGTCCACTACTGCGTCTGCCTTAGTTACTGAGCTTGTCGACTTGGATTATGGAATACGATAACTTTTCGTATTAGACACGTACGCAATGCAACTTGTTGATGTGGAGATGCATCACTATGGTTTTGCTTTAAAGTTACACAAAGTCGGTTATCATATGATACCATGGTGCAGCAACGCTTGTCACTCCCGTTCTTCCTGTAATGCTGTACAATTGAAATCCTCGCTAATCTGTTGGCCGCGAAATTTCCCATGTGAGTCGAAATCAACTGTAAGGAACTCATATTCTTCCTTATCAGGGTCTGCTGCTTTGCGTACAGGAAAGAAGGGCTCGGCCGATTCTCTCTGCACCAAGGTTGCCTCGCGCTGCCATCAGCTTTTCCTCGCTTGGCATGTACTTAAAACCAGGGTCTCAAGTAAGAGATTTTGCCATCAATTGCAAAACATTTGAGACTTGCGTTACCTTGTGTTTGTAGGCGAGATGGACTGGTTGGCTAGGGAAGTTGGCGTGCGACACTCCCCCTATTTTGCCTCAGCACCAATTGCAAAACAAATTTCGGGTACATGAGACTCTCGACAATTCTTGACATTTCACTGGCACTGTAGCTTCGGCTCCGAACCTGTTTCCATACCTAGAAGGTTTGGAACACAGCAAGCGATTTAGTTCCCTTCGCATCCCTCGCTGCACCCCTTTTCGTTTTTTAGGGCTCGTCAACCAATGGGAAACGGGTGTTTCCCATCAACTGCAAAACAAATGATCTACATGAGACCCTGGTTTTAACTCGTACTCCTAAGTCTCCTATGATTCTTCGTACCGTTTATCATCACGTAAAAAAAATGTATAAGCACTCCACATTGTCACACCGTATTCATTTGTTATCCCACGCATT